TTTCTCCATGAACTGTGTGAAGCCCCTTTGTGCTGTTTGCTCTTCCCTTGATGCCTCGGGAGCCCCGTAGCAGATGTCTTAGCCGGCTGATGACCTCAGGGCTGGGGAGGTGGTGGGTGGGGGTGGAACTGAGTCCCTGTATCTGAGGAAGTGAGGAGGGGAAGTCAGCCCCCTGTCAAGGGATCCGTGGGATCTGCAGTCACCTTTTTTTTTGCGTCCTGAAGAAGGTGCAGTCTCAGATTTGCTTTCAGTGTGGCTTGCGGACACAGCCTGGTCTTGCCAGTGGCTAGATTTGCCCATCCCCAGCTGGCTGTCCCATGTGGGAAGCTAAGAGAGCTCTGAGTCGCCCTTTGTTCTGAAGAGGGGAGCCAGGCCTGTTTGTGTGCTGGCAGAGGTTTAGATGCGAACCAGTCGTTCCTTCGTTTTGTTCATTCGGTCTTTTCCCAGAGCATCTCTTATGTGACTGATGGAAACAAGAACTTGTTGTGTTAAGCAACTGCTACACGTCAGGTCCCATCAAGACCCTGAGGCACGGGAACCTCACCGCCAAGTTCACACTTGGGGCTCCTGCAGGATGGGCGCTTGCAAGAGCGGTAGCCGGGATTTGAATTCGGCCAGGCTGACGCGCACTGCACATTATCCCACAGTGCTATGCCGTTCTCCAGACCCGGGAGGGCACCCCGGCCTTGGTCGGGCTGCAAGGTTCTCAGGCCCCTGGATGGCAGTGTGGGTTTTGCTTGGGCGGGAAGGGAGGGGCAGGGTTCTGTGAAAGCACAGAGCTTTGAAGTCGACTTTCCTGAGCACTGGGGCTTCAGGGATGGTTTGCTTGGGGTCCTGGGCCACAGGCTAGAGCAGAGGTGGCGTGTGTGTCCCGCAGCTGGGGATGACAGTGTTGAAGTCTCTGGAGCCTCAGTGGTCTCTCAGGATACTTGGAAAACTTTGGTCCCATTGCTCTGGGTTCTTCCGGTTGAATGCATCTACTCCTGTGGTTTTCTGCTGCTTAAATTCTGAAGAGTCTCATGTCTGTTTCCAGCCTCAGCCTTCTTGCTTTGTCTGCGCTCACCCTTTGTAATGTATTTCTCAAGTATTTATTTGGCTCTTACTGTGTGCCTTACATTGTGCCCAGTGGCCAGCAACATGGTAGAGAATAAAGCAGAACAACATCTGTGTCTTTGTGGACCCACATCCCGGTGGGAGCAGTGTTAAACCAGAAACAAGCAAATACTGAGTTTATTAGGTGATAGGGCTGTTAAGGGAAATAAAGCAGGCAAGGAGGTGAAAGGGATGTGTGTGTGTGTGTGTGTGTGTGTGTATACATGTGCTTGTACATGAATGGGCGGTGGTTTCAGAAAGGGTGGCCAGGGAGGCCTAATTGAGGACACGAGACGAATGAATCCCTGGGGGGCCGGGGAGCATGCCTCCCAAGCACTGGGAACAGCAAGCACACAGGTGACCTTAAGTGCTGACGTGTCTGAGGGCCAGTGTGGGGCTGGGTGTCCAAGTGGAGAAGTGGGAAGTAGAGTGGGTATGTGCTAGATCCCCAGGGCCTTGGAGGACATGGGCAAGACTTCATATTTATTCATTTATTTGAAAGGCAGAGTTACACAGAGAAGGAGAGGCAGAGAGAGAGATAGGTCTTCTATTCGCTGGTTCACTCTCCAATTGTCCACAATGGGTCGGAGCTGCTCCGATCTGAGCCAGGAGCTTCTTGCAGGTCTCCCACGGGGGTGCAGGGGCCCAAGGACTTGGGCCATCCTCTGCTGCTTTCCCAGGCCATAGCAGAGAGCTGGATTGGAAGTAGAGCAGCCGGGACTCGAACCAGCGCCCATATGGGAAGCTGGCATGGCAGGTAGCAGTTTTGCCTGCTATGCCACAGCACTGTCCCCAGTGTGCCTGTGTTTTAACTGAGTTGTTTATTTTCTGTTGTTGAACTATAAGGGTTCTTTTTTTGTTCTCCAGATTTATTTTATTTATTTGAAAGGCAGAGTTAGAAAGTGAGAGAGATCTTCTGTCCACTTGTCCACTCCCTAAATGACTTTGGTGGCTGGCACTGGTCCAGACGGAAACCAGGATCCTGGAACTCTGTCCCAGTCTCCCAGGTGGATGGCAAGGGCCCAAGTGCTTGAACTGTCTTCCTCTGCTGTCCCAGGTGCACTGACAAGGAGCTGTCCTGGGAGTGGAGCATGCAGGACTCAAACCGTTGCTCATATGGGATACTGGCATTGCACACCGTCGTTTAATCTGCTTTGCCAAAATATCTACCCCGTGAGGGTTTTTTTTTTTTTTTTTATAGTAGAAGCCTTCAAAAAGTGGATGAAAAGGGCATATTGTGAAAAATCTTTGCATAGGTTTCATTTTATTTTTTGCATCAAAACAGAGCTCTTTAATTGTTTTTTTTCCATGAGCTTTCTAAGGTCCCTTCATACACTCTTACACCTGTGGATGCTGAACTCTGCAGATGCTCCGTCCCTTACTTAAAACTTAAAATGGCAGAGTGTCTGCTTGGAACCTATCCATGTCCTCCGGTACACTGTGTATCATCTCTAGATCACTTAGAGTACCCGCTGTGTGAAGAGTTGTTACACTGTGTTGTTTAGGGAGAACTGACAAGAGAAAAACAGATGCAGCATTTCCCCAGATAGCTGTAGTTGGTCGGATCCGAAGCTTCCGGGGAGCCCATGGATTCAGAGGACTGCCCTTGTGCTAGATGTCAGTCCCTTGTCAGGGAGATGTTTTTACACATCTCTTAGACTCTGAGTGCCAGGCTGACTCATTGTTAACAGCGTCTCTCTGACTGCTGGGTCAGGGTTCGACTTCTAAGTGGCTAAGGACCAAAGTTGTAGCCAGTAGCCTAATAATCTAATTAGCTAATGACCTACTTAGCTTTTGTTTCTGAATCAGGGAATTTAGGGTCACTGTGTGATGGCCCCCAGGTGTGATGTCCACCTCCTGTGCCCACCCCTTCTCCTTATTCTCTTGTGCTTGTCTCTGTGTTGCTAGGACCTGTAACTTTGCCTGGTGAGCAGTTCCCAGTTGCTTAGCTTGCTCTGGGAAGCACCTGCTGGCCTGGCCCCAACTGCCCCACCAGCTCCCCCTGCCTCAGCGTCCTCCTTTAGACATGTGCCCCACTGTTAGCAGCAGCGCTGCACCCCCACCCCACCCCTGCTCCTTGACCTCCTGCCGCCCCTCTCCCATGCACCCGGGTTTCCCATCTCCATGGCGGCCTCCTGTGCTGAGCCAGGAACGTTTTCCAGTGTGTGAATGAGACTGGGCTTCCTCACGGGGCCCTTATCCAGACCTGGGGCCCAGAATGTGTTTGATCCCATGAATACATCCTCTGACAAGAAAGAAGGAAAAAAAAGTGCAAGACGAAAGATGGGAGCAGAGAGGCAGGGCTGAGGACGGTGTCGCAGGCTCGCAGCTGTCCGGAGGCCTCGCCTCTGCACAGCCCTCTTTGTGCAACTTGGGGCTGCGCCCCGCCCCCTCTGTTTGCAGAGGTCTCCCTCTTGTCCTGGCTCCCTGGTACTGTATTCAGAGTTCCCGGATAAGGCCCAGCTCTGTGGCCTTTATTTCTTTTTCCTTCCATGCTTTACATAATAAAGGGTCTCTTTTCTTTTCTGTCCCCTTTCTTCAGAAAACTGAAGGGACCATCTTTCTTAAATAACTTAATAAAGAGCTGGAGGGAAGTAGCTGGTTGGGGTGGGTGTGAAGGGAGAGTCCTTTGATTCCAAGAAGTTTCTCTGTGCTCAGAGCTGTGCCCTTGTAAATGGACTTCTGAGTTCAGGGCCTGGGAGACTTGTGTAAAACAACAAAGCGGTGGATGAGAAGTCCCAGAGCTTCTGGGAAAGAGGTGCTTGTCTCTGCCTCTTGGAACTGATTCGGTCAAGTGTTTGTTTAAAGGGGATGTCACTTGCTAAGCGACGCCTGGCTTGCTTGTGTTGTGTTCAGGAATGCTTTGATTGGCACGAGACCTAACCCTGTTTACTCAGAACTGGCCCCGAGGGAGTGCCTGGAACCTGGAGGCCCAGGGGTACCCCCCACCCCACCCCCAGCTTGGTCTTCATTGCCTGATACTGGAGTTAGGGCTGGGGAGCTGTGAATCTAGCAGGTGGAGCCTAACCCACGAGAGGGCATTTCCTCCCTGCTTTGATGAGCAGTTTTCCTTTTTCTCTTAGTTCATAACGGGCGAGTGGGTGGTCTGGTTGTGGGTTTTGACAGGGGATTGAAAGGGCAAACAAGACGTGGTGGAAAATGCCTTTCTTGGCAAGTGATCCGCACTGAACACCCACTGTAGTGTCTGCCAGTTGCTCCAGGTTGTGTGGGCCACCTGTCTGAAGCGAAGGGCTGTGGCCCCATTTCACAGATGAGAAAACCTAGGCAGAAAGCTGGGAAGGGTAGAGTCAGGAACAGATAGCTCTTTTTGTCCCCTTTGAGATTGTCGGGGTTTTGTCATTGTCATCTTTTTTTTTTTTCCTTTTAAATTCTGTGTGTCTATCTCTCTGCCTGGCATGTAGTAGGTGTTGGTAAAATGTGAGACATGTAATGAAGTGATAAGTTGTATTAAACTCAGCTCCGATGCCTTACAAGTTATGGGCTTGGACTGGGTTCTGAAGATTATACACAGAAGTTGGCCTGGAGCGGCTGGGTGGCACCAGGCACTTCTTGCTTGGTCAACGGATCGGTGGGTTCTGGTCGTGTTGTTCTGATCTGTGTGGTCTTCGATTTATCACTCAGTGTTCCTGCCCTTGGCGAGAGCAGCTCAGGCATAGAACCTTGACAGACAAACTTGGCCCCGACAGAAAGATCCAGTGTTCTGCCTAGTACCCAGCCAGGGGGATGAGAGGTGGGGAATCTTCGCTTTAAAAGAATGTCACTGCATTTCTAATTTTATGAAAGAGTAAAGCAGCTGGGGAAAAAGTGTGCAGAGGCAGCGGGATGGGACACATAACATTTACTTTGCAAAAAGAAATGCTGGAGTCATCCCCCTTTGTGTGTTCCAGGCAACACAACAGGATTCGCAACGTGGAGGGGAGTCAGCTGAAGGCATACCTTTCCTTGGAGCTGTTAGATCTGAGTTCCAACAACATCACAGAAGTCCGCAGCGCCTGCTTTCCGCCCGGCCTGCGCATCAAGGAGCTGTAAGTGCCTCTGGTTGCTGTCCACTCTGGCGCTCTGCTTCCATACTGGCTGTGGCTTCCCTGGGCAAGGGGTGGGTGTCTGTTCTCAGCCTTGGTTCGGCTGAGTTGGTGAGGATGGTGCGTGCTGCCTCTGTCTTTGCATGGCAGGGCAAACAGCAGGCACCCAGGTCTGTTGTCCTGTGCTGAACTCTTCAGAGAGTGTTTCCAAATCTGGTGGTGTTCTGATGTTTCCAGCTCTGAAGCTGAGGTTGGGAGAGGGGTATCCGCCTGTGCAGGGGGCTCACTGCTCAGAGAAGAGCTTGGAGAACTCAAATGCAGGCCTGTCTGGACCACGGGCCCTGTTCTCTGCCCTATTCCCAGGGTGGCCTCCCAGGAAAGCTTCAAAAGAAGGTTTTCTGGGGTGACAGGGGAGGGAGACCTAGGGCCCATCTTTCTGGTGGCATGCGCTTCAAAACAACTCGGTGGGCTTACTTGGAGAGGGCAGTTAGAATGTTCTGTGGGTTCTCGGGACCTCTGAGATTTCTCTGTTTGTCTTTGCCCCATCTGAACGCCTTGTCCCCCGTGGCACTGCAGATACACAGAAGGCAACAGCTAAAATCTATGCATTCTAGTACTTGTTGGTGGGAAAAGGTTGCTTTGGGGAAGAAACTGAAAACTCAGGCTGCAGAGGCGTTTCCCCGTCACACGAGCATCTGCGTGCCCGTGTTGTTCTTGCTCCTGAGGACGGAGTCAGTTGGGTTAGGGGTCACTGCAGCCCACCTTTGCAGGGGGGAGGAGGAGGAGGCTTCACACACGAGCTTCCCAAGTCTCTCCCCAGCGGAGGGAGAGGAGTGATGGCTTCCTCAGGCCGCATCAAGGCGCCAGGATGGGGAACAGGGGGCCTTGGCCTTTGTGGAACCCCAGTGGGGGCTTTCAGGAGGTGTGCAGCTGCAGCCTGACGCTCCCCTGCTCGGGACAAAGAAGCTGTCAGCTGCTGAACTGAACCGCAGTGACCTTTTCTCCCTGCACGAGAGCACGAGGGACTTTCTATTTTGGCAGCCGCTGGCCGGTGCGTCTCCATCACACAGGCTGTCCCTCGCTAATCTGGAGTGTGAAGAACAAACCGTGCAGCTCTGCGCGCGCCCTGTGCTGGGTGGCTGCTGTGAGACACGCAGAGGGGCCTTCTTCCCTTCCCCCTCTCTGCAAGAAAACTCCCTCTGCTCTTTGTCCCTTTCACTCGGTCCGAAAACCTCATCTGTCCGGGGAAGGCCGAAGGAGCGATGCTGGCGACGGCCGCTCCCGGGATGGCCGCTGTATTGTTTCTCCCCTTTCTGTCTCCTTGCTTGATGTAGTCTGCCTGCTTTGAGCTGCAGCGGCCTGAGCTGGAGGCTGGAGTGGGTCTTGAGAAGCAGGGTCTGCCTTGCCTGGCTCGTCAGAGGAGATGCCAGGGGCATGTGCCTGACTCAGGAGCGTTGCTGGCTTTCTGAGGGACTCTGCCCGGGTCCCTTTAACTAGGGTGTGTGTTTGAGGCACGTTAGGATTATTTGGATGAATTGGCTTAAACGTACCTCCTGTATACATCACACAAAGCAGACGCGCGGCAAGACTACATGCCGTTTGTCCAGATGCTTTAGTCGACTCTGTCCTTGCTTCTAGTGGCCTTTCTGCTTGCCCTGCCTTTTCCCATCAGCCTTGGGTGGTGGAAGGAACCCTGCAGATGGCTCCTGGGGCAGCCACCAGGCGGCAGGGCTGGCGTGTGAGGAGGTTGGAGGTGGACATCCTTGACTCTCCCATGCTCCTGGGCGAGCCACGAGGAGAGTACGGTCTGGTCTTAAAGGAGACTTGCTGTGAGGCCTGCATCGGACAGCTGAGACGCCTGCCTTTCTCTGGGTCCCCACCTGGAAGCCTCCCGAGGACAGAGGTGTCCGTGGGAACCTCTCCCTCCGGGCCAGGTCCGGGGGTCCAGTGGAATGAGGAAGGCCTCCTCCCAACCACTACATTTTCTCCTCTGAATCGTTCCAGCAACCTGGCGAGCAACCGCATTGGCACCCTGGAGTCAGGAGCATTTGATGGTCTGTCACGGTCACTGCTGACTCTTCGCCTGAGCAAAAACAGGATCACGCAGCTTCCTGTAAAAGCATTCAAGTTACCCAGGCTGACACAACTGTGAGTACAGAGACCTGCAGTTTAATTAAGGTTAGCTGAGCTTTATGGGGGCCGCTTTTCCCCAGAGGACCTCCTACTAAATGCGACCCCTTCCTCACTCTCCCTTGGTAAGGTTCTGCGTAAACTATCACTAATAGCCCTGTGGCAACACCTAATAAAAGCAAATTAGGAGCCGGGCCTGGTGCTGGAGGCCGCCTCGGATTGCCGAGACGGATCCGCCGAGTGTATGTGCGCTTGCTCTCCTGGCCACTTCCCAGCAAGTGTGCAGCGTGGACTCCAGCTATAAGATGCCGCCGCCTGTGTGCAGGCTTCCTTGGTTGACTTGTCATTTACCTTAGAGGTTTCCATGTGGTTACTAGTGGAAAATACTGTTGCTCTTTGGTACCCAGTGGTTGTGTATTTCCTGAGTCGAGGCATCTGCTGGGGTTTCTGTCACTAGGACGCCCACCTCCTGAGGCTCACCCACATGCTTGCTGCAGACCAAGCATGGAGGGGGAGATGGAGTACAAGTGCATGTACGTTGGCTGCTCCCGGAAATCCTCCTTCCTCAGTGGCGTTAGGTGGCAGCGTTGGTACCCGTGTAGTGGGCAGGGACCCACTGGACTCATGTGTGTCCTGGATTCCCAGGGACTCCTTCACTGAGATTCCTCTGCCAGCTCAGAAAGCCAGCAGGACCCACCTAGGAATGATGGCAGGAGGGGCGTATGCCTGTGGGATGCCATGACCTTGTTGGCTTTCTCTCTCTAGGGACCTCAATCGGAACCGGATTCGGCTAATCGAGGGCCTCACCTTCCAAGGGCTCGACAGCCTGGAGGTGCTGAAACTTCAGCGAAACAATATCAGCAAGCTGACCGATGGGGCGTTCTGGGGGCTGTCGAGGATGCACGTGCTGTAAGTGGGGGCTGGAGCTCTGGCCTGGCTGCGGAGCCGGGGGCACAGGCCTGCTGTGTGTATAGGAGTGTGCACACATGCTTGTAGGCCAGGCACAGGGCAGAGCACCAGACCGACTCTGCTGCCTTTGTGGATCCCTAGGGCTTCAGCTGGGCCCAGCCTCCTGCCTGCTGGGCCCTCGGCTGGTTCCAGCTCACGTCTTCTGGGACCAAGCCAAATCATCAGGGTTTTTTTTTTTTTTGGCTAGTAGATGAGGAAGATCTCTGGGAGTGAGTTCTAGTGGATTAGGTGGGGTCAGTTGGGAGAGATGGACGGGGGAGCTGGTTGTCTGAGCCCACCCTCTGCCCTCTCTCCCTTGGTGCACATGGAGCTGCAGAGTGGACTGTTGTGTCCACGCCTGCATCCACAGGAAAGGCCTTCTCTTGACATCTTGGGCTTCACATTCTCGATGTGCAGGTGGCCAGAAGTGCCATAGCTCGTCCTCGGAGATGGATTTCCATCTTGAGAGCTAGTCAGGTCACCCGGTGCAGATGTGCAGCTCGTGGCGGGGGAGCCTTCAGCAGCCAGATGTGTAGACAGTGGAATGGGCCTGCCTGCCTGCTGCCTGCATAATGGGAAACAATCACAGGCGAGATTACTGACCTTCTCTTTTAAAACCCTTAGGAGCTGCATACCCTCACAGTTAAACAAAATCAGATGGTGGTGGGAAGAGTGGTCGCTGCCCACCTCACCGCCTCTGCCCCCGAACCTCAGTGTTCCCAAGAAGCAGTCCGCCTCCTAAGGCTTTTCTTCCTGCTCTCTCTGTTTTCAGTGTTGCTGGTGGCCAGTTCTAAGTTAACGCACATGTCACTGTCTTTACTTGCCCTTCTGAGATTTTCTGCTTTAGGGTCAGTGGTTTAACTGGTTCATGCCAGCCCATACCTCCCTCAGTAGGACAGCTGTATCACGACTTTTACTTCCTTTATAGGTTGTCTTTGTAAATGAGATCAAAGCTAGAGGAGGCCTAGTCCTGGGCACCTCGCCGTTGTGTCTGTCCACCTGCCCCTCCCATACACACCATAGGGCGGGGACGTTTGCCCGCTGCTGGGCCTCACTCTCTTCCTGCTCCACCTTGAAGTGGCTAGACCTGTGCTTTCATGTATTCAAAATGCTTTTACTTGATGTCCCTAAAGCTGTCATTTTGCACTGTGAATCCAGGATAGGTGGGCTCAGATTTGAAAAGAATTCTCACAGGGCCAGTGTTGTGGCACAGTGGATAAAGCTGCTGTATGGCGATGCCAGCATCCCATGTGGATGCCAGTTCGAGTCCTAGCTGCTCCACTTCCAATCCAGCTTCCTGCTGATGACCTGAGCAAAGCAGATGAGGATGGTCCAAGTGCTTGAGCTCCGGCTACCCTCCTAGAAGACCAGGAGGAGGCTCCTGGCTCTTGGCTTTGGCCTGGCCTGTCACTGGCCATTGCGACCATCTGGGGACTGAACCTGTGGATGGAAGATCTCTTTCTCTCTGCCTTTCCTTTTCTCTCTCAAACTCTGACTTTCAAATAAATCCTTAAAAATTAAATTTAAATTAAAAATTAAAATTCTCAGAAGAAAGAGTTGGCACCGTGATTGAGGTTTTATGTTGAACAAATGCGTACAAATTAGGGGTGATGAGCTGCCTTAGAGGTCATTTTATAAATTAATACTGTCTTCCTAAGCAGTGGCAGAAAATGAGGTGGAAGAAAGCAAGATCTGAAAGCTGAGAATCCTTGTAATACCAAACACAGAGTGAAATATCAGTTAGTGCCTCTTTGGGGACAGAAATCTGCTTGACTAAGGTGTGCTGTGTCAGTGAGCAGGGTGACAGCACACAGATGCCCCTGGACTTACAATGGGGTTGTATTCTGACACACCCATCGGGAAGCTGAAAATCCTGTGAATCAGAAATGCATTCTGGGGTGTGCGTTTGGCTAAGCTGTTAGAAAGCTCCTTGAGATGCCCACACCATATATCTAAGTACCTGGGTTCCAGTCCTGGCTCTGCTTCTCATCCCAGCATTCCTGCTAATGTCTACCACGGGAGGCAGTAGGTAATGGCTCAGGTGATTGCGTCCCTGCCACTCACATGAGAGCCCCAGATGGAGTTCTACACTCTTGACTTGGACGTGGCCCAACTGTAGATGTTAGAAGTATTTAGGTAGTGAACTAGTGTTTGGGAGATCCCTCTTTGTTTCCTTTTCCCTTTGCCCTTCAAATAAATAAAATTTAAAAAAAAAAAAAAAACAAAAAAAAACAAACATGCATTCAGTCCGTGTCACCTGCTAGCTATTCCGGCTCAGCACGGGGTGGTGTGGAGCGTCATTTTCCCTTTATGGCCAGAGTCTGACTGGGAGTGTGTTCTCTCCTGCTGCCCAGCTCCAGGAGATACAGGATCTTACTGTATATTACGAGCCAGGTGAAAGCTCCAAGTTCAACATGAAGGTTACAGTTTCTGTTGAATATTTATCTCTTTTCCATCATCAAAAGGTTGAAATGGCGTCATTTAAGTCATCCTTAGTTGGAGACTGTTTTTACTGACGTAATAAACTTGAGAGCCAAGTCTTAGCACTATGCTAATATTCTCACGTGTGTCCTATGGTTTGTTCCCATAATGTACCTGTGAAGTCCATACTTGTGGATGTCACCAACTCACAGATATTCAGGTCCATTCAGCCATTAAAGTGGCCAAATTAATATTGAGACCCAGGTAGCTGGCCCCAGAGCTAGAGCCGGGTCTCCTGTCATAATAGGGCAGAGATCTGGCTCTGTCAGCCACACCTGGATCTCAGTCAGTTCTGGTCCCTCGTGACTTGCTGAGCTGTGGAGTCTGAGGCAAGCCCCCTAGCTTTTCCCAGCTGTGGTTTAGTCATCTGTAAGAACAGGATGGCATCGTGAGCTACCTCCTAGTCTACTCTTTTCTCCTCTTTTCGTGGGCTTTGCGCTTGTTTGAAACTCCTGTCTGGTTCACTGTTACAGATTAAAAAAAAAAAAGTCACTTCTAAGAAGCTTCCTCTTGCCTGCTGAACTGCGTTTGTCCTGGCGTTTGCCAGCATCTCTTTTGGTTTACCTGTCTTCTCGAAGCTCCTGTGCACGAACACAGACACACACACACACACACACACACACGCCCGTGCCCACGCACATGCACACACACAGTGGACTTTGCAATTTGCTCATGCATTGTTACACCAAATCGTCCAGTACAGAGTAGCTGCTCATTGGCCATCTGTGCAGTGAATGAGTGAATGAGTGAGTGAGTGAGTGAGCGAGCGCCCCTCTTCATCCTGTGTGTATGTGGCTGTCGTTGCAGGCACCTGGAGTACAACAGCCTGGTGGAGGTGAACAGCGGCTCGCTCTACGGCCTCACCGCCCTGCACCAGCTCCACCTCAGCAACAACTCCATCTCTCGGATTCACCGGGATGGCTGGAGCTTCTGCCAGAAGCTGCATGAGCTGTGAGTGTCTCCAGTCTCAGCCCGTGACAGTGACTAGAGACAGGGCCTGTAGGTGGATTCTGCAGAGCCCAGAACGCTCTAGAATGGCCCGTTCCACAGCACCGTGTCTCAGGAGGAGTTAGCACTCTGCCTCTGTCTGCCCTCAGCTGAGCAGAGGCTGCAGGGGTAGCTTTGTAGGGTTTCTAGAAAGTTCCTTGGGGAAGGCAAGGTGTTCTCAAGTGCGGGTGTTCTGAGTGTGACTGCACGTCCCTGGCAACACCAAGAAGCACGCACTTCAGTGGAAGGGGCTGTTTGGCCTTAAATACAGAAATCAGTGTCGAGTAGGACAGTGAAACCGAGTGATGGCGACACGGACTGTGGAACACTGTACATGCCCTTCCAATTTCCGCCTTTCTTCCCTTAGACCAGGTGCCAAGGCACTTGGCTCCTTCTCTTTCCCTGTGTTGCAGTCCAAGAACCTGGTCGCCAGCACTGTGTGCTTATATTTCACTCGGAGCTGAACAGTCCCTTCATTCCTTTTGGAGCTTCCCAGATGGGGCTCCCGGGTTGGGCTGGGGAACTGTTAAGCCCTGTGTCCTGAGATCAGTAGCGGAAAGCTGGGGTGAGGCTGTGGCCATCCCTTCATGCTGCAGTGTAGTTACTGACCATGAAAGCAGTAGTGTCAGGACTCGGTGAACATACAGATGTCCTCCGTTTCTATCCCTTGGCTAGAAGGTGGGGTTTTGGAGGAAAAAGGCAGGTCTACACTGGATGTAGTTCAATATATTGTAGTTTAACCCAGTCGTTTATTTTTCGGTATCATTGGGGTGGGGTTACTCCTCGTTTTCCATCATTTTCTAGGCTTGGCTGTGGGGAAAGATCACACACTGCCGGGAACAACTGTGGAGTGCCAAGCCTCTGCCTTGTGTCTGTCTGTCTGTCTGTCTGTCTGTCTCTCTCTCTCTCTCTCTCTCGGCCTCAACGGGCACACGCAACTGGGTGTTTCAGCTTCATGCTGATTGTCGCAGCTGGTGTTGTTTTCTTCTTTACCCCCCTCCCCCTCCCCCTCCCCCTCCCCCTCCCCTCCCCCTCCCCCTCCCTCTCCTTCCCCTCCTCCCTGTCTCACACACACACACACAGAGTCTACACTGACTTGGAGTTTATACTTCATCTTTCAGTGAATCCATCATTATCTAATGCAAAAAGCAGGTGTCCTGCCCCTTTGCTTGTGTTCACTTTGCTTGGATGTGTGTGTGTGTGTGTATGTGTGTGCGCGCACATGCGTTCCTATGTGTTAACTTTGGATTTAGCTTCCTGACACTAGGCCTGAAGCCCTGCCCTGTGCATCTCATGTTACTGGATGGCTCCCGACAAGCTCTTTGCTCGGGCTGTGACCCCGCCAGGAACCTTTAGAGACTGCTGGTTTTCTGTTGGCTGGGGCGGAAAGGTGTGGGGAAGCGAGAGAGGCCTTTCAAGTGCCCCAAGCCTGAGCCAGGCTAACAGCTAGGGCGGGAGCAGGTCCTGTGTGACACGCCAGAGGGTGTGCGAGCCGTGGGGAGAGGCGTACTCCCTTTGGGGCGGGCCTTTGGGTTCCCTATTCCCCTCTGATCCCCTTTGGTGCCCTCTAGAAGGGGCAGGAAGTGTCATGGACGTGTGCCTTGGCCAGTGCTAGCATCTTGTCCCATATCCATATCCATGTAACCTCAGAGGCAGATTTGGGATTTGCTTTTTAGTGTGTGTTTCCTGCCATCCTTTTAAGCTTAATTCTTTAATTGCAGGTGGGGATATGATTTTGGTTTCCTGCCAGGTCTTTGTGATTGACAGACACCATGACTTATTTCTCCAGGAGGCAAAGAATGTTGCTTCCTGCCACCTTTAAAAACTCATTAATCTTCTCTGAATTCACTTTCCTTCTTCCTGTCCCAGTCTAGATTTCCCGTATTTCACCAGTACGAGCAACCACTCAGGGCTGTGTCAGAGGTGCAGGAGCACTGGGAGGAGGGCTTGATGCTGACATGCGTCAAGTGTAAGATTATAGGGCGTGTTTCCTGTGTGCTTACAGAGACCCAGGGGGTGAAGGCAAGCAGGGCTGGCCGTGAGCCCCCAGTGCTGCTCCTGTGACCTAGCTAAGCTGAGGCTCTCTTAGGGCTGTCCAAAGGCAGGGGCTAGCTAGTGGTGCCCTCTGCTGGCCGACAGAGGGAGTCTGTCGGGGGCTCCCTTGCTTACCTTCAGAACCTGAGGGGGTCCTGCCTAGAGTCATTGGCCTCTGCCTGGAGAGGTGTTTCTTCCATGATTCGAATCAAGAGCAGCGTGGACACCAGCGTGAAGGGGTTGGAGCGTTGAGTGTTCTCGTGCTGTATGGTCTTGTGTGGTCCTCACAGCTCAAGGTATACCCAGGTCTGTGTGACTACTCCAGGAGTCAGGCTCAGTGGACGTTGGGTTCTGGTGGGGGTCTGGCTGCATGGCCACTAGAACTCTCTGGATCCCTCTGTGTGTGTGTGTGTGTGTGCTGTGTGCGCGCACGCGCGTGGTGTGCACATGAGTGCCTCTGTATGTCCTTCTCTCTGAGACCCGGCCAGGTGTTATATATTCAGGAGAGGGGAGGGCAGGGGTAGGCAGCCCTGTGTGACCTCACGGTGACCCCGCTCCGCCCTCCCGTTGCTCAGGATTCTGTCCTTCAACAACCTCACGCGGCTGGACGAGGAGAGCCTGGCCGAGCTGAGCAGCCTGAGCGTCCTGCGCCTCAGCCACAATGCCATCAGCCACATCGCCGAGGGCGCCTTCAAGGGACTCAAGAACCTGCGCGTCTTGTACGTCTCTCGCTCTGGGGTTGACGGAACGGAGGGGCCCCCGAGTGAGAGAGCACAGCAGAGCAGAGCCCATCGTCACTGCCTTCAAGTCAGGGTTGAATCCGTTGCTGGCTGGTTCCACGTGCCAAGCCGCACACTCTGATAGAATCCCCTGAGAAGGAACGGGTCGAGCCGCAGACCCTCCCTCCATCCCTGGGGTGGGGCTCACAGAGGCTGACAACTGCCAACCGTTGCGGTTGCGAGCCGTCATCCCCGCGTGGTGCAGGCAGGCTGCTGGCACTCTGGTTTTCGGGAAGAGCTTCCCACGGTGAGCTCCTGCGGCCACCTCCAACACAGCAGCCATGGGGCTCGAGCCTTCCAGTTGGGACTTCCATTGTTAAGTTTGGAATTTTTTTTCTAAGCCAAGGGAATGCTGGGGGTCATTTTTGATCCCAGCGTTAGGATTTGTCCAGCACCCCCTGCACCCAGGAGGTCTCAGGGAATCCCATGTCTTTGCTTGCACGTCACTAGGGGATGGGTTCCCACAGAGGAAGCGACAGTGCCATTTCCCTCTGTGTTCTCAGTGGGATAGCTAGAAGTTGCTGTGGAAGGCTTTTCTGAGACTTTCCTAAGACTTTCTAGTTGCTGGTTTCACAGAAGTCCCGAGTAAGTCTGCGCATAAAGCCCCCTCAAAGGGGGCCATGTGGTTTTCAGCATTCAGTGGTCGTGGCTTCGGGGGCCTCCCTCCCGGACACCCTCCGCTGCAGAGATGGGCCTGCCCCAGTGTGAGGAGGAGGAAGGCCTTTGCACCTGCACCTGGCAGAGCCAGCTTTCATGTCGAGCCATTGCTGGGGAGTGTGAAAGAGCCGGGAAGCCAAGCTATTGACGCCGAGGTCAGCCTGTGAGGCCTGAATAACAAGGCCGGGAACATTCAGACTGAGCTGGCCAGAAAGAGAAAAACCTTGGCAGCCGGGGCTAGCAGCAGAGACAGGGACACAAAGCCCCAGCCCCAGGTTCCTTGTTTTTTTTTTTTTTTCCCCCCAGCATGAAGATAATAGGGAGGAACCCATTGAAAGAAGTCCCTTCCAGCAGCCAACACTCAGTGCTTTGAGCTTCCTGCTGTAAAATAAAGGTCACAAGCAAGCATTTCACTGAGCAGCGCTCCCTCCCTGCTGGCAGCGTTGACTCCTGAAGGGGCTCTCTGCAGCCAAGAGCAGCATCCCTTCCTGCTCCCGGCCTGGGCCTGCAAGGGCTCGGGAGAGGAGAGTTGAGGAAGCAAGGGCCCTGTGGAAAGTTGGGGAGGGCGGACCGTGCGCAGGAGGGAGGCCTGCTCGCCAGGTGCGATGTGTCTCGCCTGGGCGCTGTGACCTGCCCTTGGAGGCTGGGGGAGGAGGCTGACTCATCGGCCTCGGGATTTGCACTGCCGAAGGAGCCTGGGCCGAGGAGTTGGCCTCATCTCTCCGATCCTGGCGAGTGGGTCACAAGTCTGACTCAGCACCCAGATGTCCTCCCTGGCTCGGAGTCAGTGCTGTGTGGGCCTCGTGAGTTGGGCCCCAGGCTCCAGACCTGCTGGCCAGCACAGGAGGGGCCTGAGTGGGGGCCCGGGCGGGGTCCCGGGGCCTCTTCATGGTCCCTTTCCTTCGTGAGCCTTCCACAGTTTGTTGGTGAAGTCCAGAAAACTGGGGTTCTAGTTGATGTGTGAGCAGAGGGAACCTTAAGGAACCTCTTGGGCTGGTTGTCTGTGCCAGGGCCCAGCTGTCCACTCCAGGGGCGGAACACACATGGGCTTTTCCATGGGCCGCCTGCTCTGCTCCCCTTCCCGGGAGCCGGACCTCGCCAGCTGGGAAGCCATAGGCAAGGCAGGGCTGGGCTGGGCAGGCTTTGTGTTTGAGGCGTGGGCTGCCTTGGCTGGGAGGCTGTGAAGCCAGGCTGCGCCGTGAGGGGTGCAGAGCCGGGCTGCCTTGTCAGGGCCGCGTTCCTCCAACCCAAGCCTGGCGCCAGAGCCTCAGGGTGCACACGGCTGCATTTAGCTTCCTAGGGGCAGCACGTGTGTAAGCCACCCCTTACCTGGGGCACTCGGCCGCCTGGTCTGAAAAACCTTCATTGTCTTCTCTCCAGGGATCTGGACCACAATGAGATTGCGGGCACGATCGAGGACACCAGCGGCGCCTTCATGGGGCTGGACCACCTCAGCAAGCTGTGAGTATGGCAAGGGTGCCTGTGTGTGAGGCTGGTGCACGCACCCACGTACATCCTTACACACGCAGTCACGCACAGGCCTATGGGACGGCGCCTCAGGGATGCCCCATGCACTTCGGGTGTAGGGTGGGCCGAGTTTGGGGGAAGTTGGAGGCGCCTGCAGAGTTGCTTGGCTGCCTTGCTACCCTGGAGCTGAGGTCTTGGCCACGTGGTGGCTTGTCAGATTTTCTGGGGTTTGGTTCTGAACTGAAGTGAAGACAGCTCAAGTTTTCGTTGTCCTTTGCACAAAAGAGCCTCAGCCTCTCAGTTTCTAGAACTGTATCACCTGGTGACTTTTGATGCTCCTAGCAATAGTTTTTGTAGTCAGTTGCAATCTCAAATGGAGCATGCATTTCCTAGTGTAACAGTAAGACTGTTTAGGAATTCTCGGGGCTGACTCTTTTTTGGTCCCACCGGTAGAAGCCAGCCATTCTGCTGTGAGGCCCTGTGCAGCGTGTGGGGGTGTCTGAGGGGCTCCCCAGGGCAGGCTCTGTGGGAAGAAGGGCAGAGATCCTGAGACGGCACGGTTGGTAGGTGGCAGAGTCGGGAGTTGCCTGTCCGGCTGCATGGGCCCCCATGCTTTCTCCCTCGGCCCACCCTGTTTCTCCCTGCATCTCAGCAGCACTTGCCGCGAGTTGCCTCCCAAAGGGCCTACAGGAGTAGGTTTGGGGTGACTTCTGCTGTTTACTGGCAACAGGCGGCATGGAGGCCCCGAGAGACGAGACCTCACCACTCACCTCGCAGCTCTTGTGCAGTGACAGGGAGCTGAGCCGAGTAAATATTTTGAGAGCCCTGGTGAAGCTGGAGGCCTTAGGGAAGGCTCTGGTGGGGGAGTGTCTTTCTGTGTGTAGGTGCCGTTGATGGGTTTGGAAACGTGTGCCTTCTCACACCTCTCCTGCCCAGAGGGTAGTGATGCGTGGTCAGCTCGCTTGGCTCTCCGAAAATCCTGCTGCCTCTCCAGCTTCCTGTGCTGATGGCTTGTCAGAAGTACAAACCAGTTTGTCATCTCTCACTCCTAAAGCAGTGCTGTCTTCCCCCAGCCTCCTGGTTCCTTGTACCCAGGCACAGCGAGTTTGGGAAGAGCTAGAAGCAGGGGCTGGCACTGTGGTGTAGTAAGGCTGCCGCCTGCAGTGCCAGCATCCCATGTGGGAGCCGGTTTGAGTCCCAGCTGCTCCACCTCCTATCCAGCTCTCTGCTGTGTCTTGGAAAAATAGTAGAAGGTACCCCAAGTGCTTGGGTCCCTGCACCTGTGTGGGAGACCTGGGGGAAGCTCCTAGCTTTGGATTGACCCAGCTCCAGCCATTGTGGCTATAAGAGGAGTGAGCCAGCAGATGGAAGCCCCCCCACCCCCACCTCTGTGTAACTCTGCATTTCAAATAAATAAATAAATCTTAAAAAAAAGTTAGAAGCAGCCAGGTGGAGTGGGTACATACCTGCTGCTAACAAGCGAAGCCCACAGGCTGCACATGTGATCTCCAGGCTAAAAGCACCTGACGAGCTATTCCACTGCTTTGTGGGGTCTGTACCCTAGTAGGCCCTCAAGCTACTACCTGAGTGCTGCGGCCTTCAGGAGGCTCTTGCTTGCCACAAGAGGAAAGCTTGCAGACTGCGGGGCCCTGGGACTGCTGTCAGGCTGGCTCCTACTCAAGTCTTTGTTCCCTGGTGCTCCTGTTTCTGTTACCTAGACAAGGTCCGGCGGCTGTGTGTGAGCCCCAGCGAGTCAGCCCAGCCCCAGTTCTCCTCTCCCATGCTGTGCTGTTTGATGTGGGCTTCACCCAAGCCATGGGCCCCACACTGACCTCTTCCAGGGTCCCACACCTCCCCACACAGCCCCTCGGATCACCGTCTTGCTGCTACAGGCTCTGTACACTCTTCTAAATAGAGATGAATCCCCTGGGGGAAACGGGGGCGCTAGCAGAAGTTCTTTACTATGATTATGTATGTGAAGTTATTGATAACACCATGCTTATGCTGCAAAATTTTTAAAAAAGAACCCTTTTCTTCTTAGATAAGAAAAAGAAAACGATGCAATGCCCATGGTTTGACCCCAAATCATCCAGCTGGGTTGGGGAATGGGCTGTAGGGAGAGGTAGCTGGATCTGCCTGCTGGCTGCAGTAGTTGAAGACCTCTGTGCTTGGCATATTGTAGGTCCTGAGCAAACACTCGTGGGAGGAGAAAGAGGGGGAAGGAGGAGGCGGGTCATGGCTCTGATCCCTTCCCCCTGCAGTCTCCTCACCACGTTGCCAGGAAAGCTCTATTTGTGCCCGTGGCCGGGACAAGCAGCTGCCTCACTGCGTTGCCTCGTGTGGCCCGGGTCAAGTCTGCTGAGATCCATTTGGTGTGGGCGATGAATAAATTAATTTTTAAATCCAGATTCTTCTGCAGAGAGAAATGCTAAGCAGAAGCTGGTATCATGAACAAAAAGGAATAGAGTTTATTTGGCAATGAGGGAATAAACGTGCCCCACGCTGAGAGGCACACAACGGGAGTGGGCCCAAGAATTTCCCGTCAACTAGAGAAAAGAAAAAGACAAACCAGAAAGAATACCAGCAACTGGGAAATCTCCCTGAGCTCCACGGTGCAAGAGTGCACACCAAAGCGATGTGTCCGGGAGTGTTCCATGGTGGAGAGTGAGAATTCAGGAGTGGTGGTACTTAGGTCAATGGCGGGAAGAGCAAAAACAGGAGTGGGACTTCTCAGCGGGTTCCATGCAGAACGGGGGCTCTCTCCCTATTCCACCTGCTCTTATGAGGGGTGGTACCCCAGTTGTATATACAAATGGGGTGGGGTCTTCACATGTCCCCTGGTCCTGGGTGATACAGGGACATCCTGGGAGGGTGGGCAATCAAGTTGATAGTTAAAAGATAGCATCATTTTGCATGCAAACCACAGTTCCAGGTCGCCTGAGCTTTACCTAGTTAGCCCGTGTCGCTCTGAGCCGCACAGGGTGTTCCCACAGTGAAGGGCTGTTCTCCGCTTGCCACGTCATATGGAATGACCCATCCTGATTGTGGAGACCACAGCCCCGTGCTTTGAGTCCCCTTGGTCCAGCAAGAGCTACAGGCTTGATCATCAGGAATCTGCCTTCCAAAAGGAGAGGTGAAGCTCAAGCCTTCACCGAGTTATTCCAGGACCGGGGGTCCCTTCTCCATGCAAGAGGCCAGATGGAACTGTTGTCCTGGAGAGGACAAAGCGAGCACCAGGGCCGCACAACCTGGCGTGGGCGTTGTCCAGACACCGCCATTGCGGGTAGTCCTTCCACCGGGAGCCTCCTGGCAGGGCGAGAATGTTCCAGGACTGAAGTGTGCTCTCTTCTTACTCGTTTGCCTGGGATTGTTAGGTTCACACAGGGGCACACAGGCAGCATGTGAGGAGAGAAGGGGGGTTTCTGGGTCTCACACTGGGGGCAGAGAGGACAGGTAACAGGTGCCTGGCACGTGGCAGGGCTGCCCTGCTGTGGCGTTGCTGAGGAGGGTAGGGGTGGAGTTAGCTCAGGACCTTTGAGGAGTGCCTGGGGCAGGATGCAGACTGGGAAAAGGAGGCCAGGTCTCATTTCTTGCCTGACCAGGTGCTGTGCCCAGTGGTGAGCAGGTGAGGGCTGGGGGCAGGTGTATGTGTCTTGGCCACTCCCGAGAACATGAGCACAGGAACCACTCTGCCCTCCTGTGCCTGCCACAGCTGCTTTGGCAGATACTGAACTCCCTCTTTGGGAGGCCAGGCTGGCCAGGAGATGCATGAGAGGAAAGTTTGAGCAGTGACTTCCTCAGGTCCAAGTCAGCGCTGGGGAGGTCAGGCCCCTGGCCCTTCCCCAAGAGCCCTGGCTGTGGGACGGAAGAGCATCTTCCTGGCCCAGCGTCACAGCCCGGCTTCCCCCACACAGCAGCCTGCTCTAAGACCTGTCGCAGCTAGCTGGAGCTCCAGCCCCCGGCCCCCAGCTCTCTACTGGGAGCAGGCCTGGGCTGTGGTAATCCGCCCCCCACCCCGCCCCACCCCGGGATGATTAGCCTCTGCATAATTGAGAGTTTGAGAATGTGTTTTATTGCGATTGTCACCATTAGAAATAACAGCTTGCCCTCACTGTAAAAGAGGTCATCGTGACTAATACTTAATGGATGAAATAAAGCACAGCTTTTTCCTGGATCTGGTTTACGGGACATTTCACTGAACAGCTCGGTGCGTTTTTACGGGGACCTGGAGCGCACAGTGGCCAGCCCGCGGGGATGTGAGTAAGTGTGGAAGTTGGCAGGGCTCGCAGAAGCGCCTGGGGTTCCGTGCCCCACGAGCTGGTGCTCGCCGGCCAGTCCTGTGCTGCAGGAGCCGGAGGAAGCACGGTCCCCGGGCTTTCCCGTGTCTGGTTGGGCTGTTAGACAGTCGAAGGTTCGGGTTGAGCGAGGTTCAAGAGCGTCTTTCAGGATTAGATGGTTTTCACATCCAGGGAGACAGTCGGAGAGAAGGCAAAGGCCGAGGAGTCTTTGACCTGTTTGCCTTTCACCCCACGGAGGCAGGAAACAGTGCCGCTTTGTCTGAAGGCTGAATGACAGTGGCTGCTGGGGGTTACTTCTATGGAGGCCCCTGGGCAAGGAATGTGCTTCTAATGGAGGAGGCCCAGGGAGCCTCCAGGGGTGTGGGTGCCCCGGAGGTTGGCCTGCAGGCGAGGGGTGCCCTTGGGAGCAGGTGAAGCAGGCCTTCCCGTGTGCTGTGTTTGCTCCCCCCGGGGGCTGTGCTGGCCTGAGCCAGCCTCCTGCAGGCAGCCTCCTGTGCAGACCTGGCCAGCACCCTGCCCGCCCCCTGCCCTCCGGAGCCCCTGGGCTGAGCCATGCGAGGCCAACCTGTGTTCTTTGGTTTTCTCTGGGGCTTGTTTCCTTTGCTTTCCTCCCCTCCGTTTAGAGAGGGGCTGGTGTTGGTCCGCACCTGTGGGTCTCAGCCTTGGTGCAGGCCGAAGGCAGAGCTGGGCTCCAGTTCAGAGCCTCCCCCTGATCCCCGGGCTCTTGGATGAGGAATCTGCCCAGCCGGTGAGGGTCTAAACCCTCGCTTGCTCTGGAGGTTCTCCGTCACGTCACAGTTCCCAGTCTCAGCAGGCCCCACGGTCACTCGGTCACTCCCGGGGATGTTAAAGAAGCGCCCACGTGGCTGGTGGTCACTTGGGTTGTCTGTGGTGGTTGGCTGCACCACAGGGAGGAGGGAGCGTCTCCGTAGGTTCTCTCCAGAGCCTGACAGCGGGGAGGGGAGTTGGATTCTTTGCTTTGCCAGGACCCATCACAGTCTAGGAGCTCCCCCACCTAGCGAAGGCTTCGCTGTGCAGTAGGCAGCCTCACAGAAGAAGGACGCATTTGGTCCTAATGAAATGCGGGGAGCACATGCAGGCTGCCGGGCAACATTTTTTTTTTATAAAAAGGCATCATGTTTCACATATACAGGTTTTTTTTGTTTTTGTTTTTGTTTTTTTTTTAAGATTTATTTATTTGAAAGGCAAAGTTACAGAGAGGCAGAGATAGGAGAGAGAGGGAGGGAGGGAGGGGTCTTCCATCTGTTGGTTCACTCCCCAGATGGCTGCAACAGCTGGAGCTGTGCCAATCCAGAGCCAGGAGCTTCTTCCAGGTCTCCCACATGGGTGCAGGGGCTCAAGGACTTGAGCCATCTTCTACTGCTTTCCTAGGCCATAGCAGAGAGCTCGATCAGAAGAGGAGCAGCCGGGACTCGAACCGGTGCCCACATGGCCTTAACCACTATGCCACAGTATATACAGTTTTAAGAACGCAGTGATACTGGGGCCGGCGCCGCGGCTCACTAGGCTAATCCTCTGCCTTGCGGCGCCAGCACACCGGGTTCTAGTCCCGGTCGGGGCGCCAGATTCTGTCCCGGTTGCCCCTCTTCCAGGCCAGCTCTCTGCTGTGGCCAGGGAGTGCAGTGGAGGATGGCCCAAGTCCTTGGGCCCTGTACCCCATGGGAGACCAGGAGAAGTACCTGGCTCCTGCCATCGGATCAGTGCGGTGCACCGGCCGCGGTGGCCATTGGAGGGTGAACCAATGGCAAAGGAAGACTTTTCTCCCTGTCTCTCTCTGTCTACTCTGCTTGTCAAAAAAAAAAAAAAAAAAAAAAAAAAGTGATACTTTATACCTGCTCCTCCCTCTCTCCCTCCCTGCCTCCTTTTCTTACTTTTCTTTCACTTTTCTTTATAATCACACACCTGCCCCTCCACTAAGTAAAGAATTCATCAAGTAGTAAGTAGAAAAGCCACTGTTCTTCAGGAGCATAGACAAGGGCCATAAATAATAATCAAGTCTCAACCTGTCAGTTTCACTCATGTATGTTACATATTGTTTTTGTACCCTGTATATTAGTTACCACGAATCGGAAAATAGGCGGTATGAGGAGACTTGGAACAGTTACCGTCAAGGCTGGATTGGGATTTCCGGGAAGCCAGAGCCGCTTCTCGGGGGTGCAGGCATCACTTGGCCCTGGGGCTGACCTGTGGGGCAGGCCCTGAGGGTCATTCTCGTGGGCAGAGGCGTGGCTTGCTGTAGCTACGTCCTGGCTGCCCGGCCCATGTAGGGTGCAGAGAGCTGTGGAGCCTCGGAACCCGTCTCCCGGCGTTCTTGCTGCTTTGGGGACCCTTTATCCCAGAATGCACCTCTCATAGCAGGCAGCAATTTTTGGTTCCTTGCTTTTCATGGCCTGTCTCCACCGTGTCCTGTCACTGAAGACCCCCACGTCTGCTGTGAAGCCCGGCCCCCCTGCCCCCTCTGCCCCCTCTGGGGGTCCCTGCAGAGACATGCTGCCAGCCTGCCCATGCAGTCCCAGCCTGTCGTGCTCATAAACTTGAAAGTATTTCCTTTCTGAGAGGGGAGGCCTGAGTCCGTCAGTCCCATGGGCTCAGCACAGGTCAGCCGCCACCTGCCTCTCATAGGACGGACGTGCCAGCCAGCGCCGCGCTAATTGCATGTTCTCTTTCTCCCAACCCTCCCTCATCCTCCACCCCCATGCCGCCTGCGTCTGGCTGTTTGGAAACTGCAGGACTCTGTTTGGAAACAAGATCAAGTCCGTGGCCAAGAGAGCGTTCTCAGGGCTGGAAGCCCTGGAGCACCTGTGAGTATCTCGCCAGACCTTGCCTGACCCACAGGCCTGCCAGACCTCGGCTGCGGGGAAGTCTGCTCGCAATTTAATTGCATCTTTGTAAACTGAGAAACAGGCTATCTGGAAACGCCAGCTGCTTCCTTCTCATTAGAAGTCAGCTTCGACTTTGGCCTTTATCTTGCCTATGCCAGGAACAGCTATGGAACATATGGCCGGTTGGTGTGCTCCCAATTAACGCAATTGGCACGGGCATAAATACCTTCCTCCCCCAAGCTGCCTGTTTCACCGTCGCACCTGGCTGCTGCAAGAGCCCTCCACCCCCCACCATCAAGGCCACTTCCGGGGCGGACACTCTGCCCAAAGCAGGCCCAGTTTCTCCACAGAGGCAGCTTTGCATTCTCAGACCCATTCAGGCGCCACCTGAGCTTTGCTACCAGAGGGGCTTCCTCTGAGACCCTGGGAAGAGGGGACGGAGCCAGCCCCGAGACATCCGTGTTGATACCATCTGGGCCTGCGGTACATGATTCTCAGATTGTTTCCTTTTGAAATAGAGTTTGACTTTTATGCTGCCAGGAGACGCATTGCTCTTGACTTGCTGAGTAAGCCTCAACCTAGCTGTTTTATTTTAAATGTGTTTTTTATTTTTAATCAATGCCTAGCAATGGTCCGTATCTGTAGGGTTATGCTGTGCCATGTTGGCATGCACATGTGTGATAGGATCAGGGTGACTGGCGTGTTTATCACATCAGGCACTGATTATTTCTTTGTGTTGGGAGGGGACATTCAGCCCGTCCTCTCTACCTGCTGTGCTACAGCCCGTTAGGAACCCCTCCTCCCATCCCACCGCACCCCCTCGCCCCACCCCCGAGACATTCTCAGTGCTTGTCAATATGTGGGCAGTGACAGCTGTATCCTGGAGAGGGGACGAGGGGTCTGGCTAGGGCCGTCCTGAAAACCCATGAATGTCTTTGTTCAAACACGTGGCTCGCTTGAAGGGTGCCCCAGGTTCCTGAGCGGAAGTCGTGCTGTGTTTCAGGAACCTGGGAGAGAATGCCATCAGATCTGTGCAGCTCGATGCCTTTGCAAAGATGAAGAATCTTAAGGAACTGTAAGTACCTGGGCTCTCGTGGCTCCGATGCACACAGATGCGGACACTCAGTGCAAGAAACACCTGGTTAAGTGCATGATGAGTACTTGCGGTGACAGCTGTGACCGTTTATTAAGTGGATGCAGGTTCAGCTGTCCTGAGAGAAACACACAGAAAACCCCTGTGGGGCAGTCACTGGATGAAGGGCAGTGAATTCATCCTTAAAGTGCCACACAACAGATACTGACTTCACGGGCCTGGAATCTTGGTGGGGCCGGCTCGGGTGTGTGTCTGGAGCAGAAAGCAGGCATCAGTAATACACAAGCAAGTGGTGTGGCTGTGGGCCATTACTTTCGTATTAACAAAAGCAGGCGGTGGGCCTGCAGGCTGTAATTTGCTAACCACTGTTGTAGATAATGTGAAATAAATTCTCTCTATAAAGTGGATAATCACCCCTTCAATTATGTCGGGAACAGGCTGTCCTGAGTTGCACTGAAGTGAAAAACCTGTGTCGAGAAGGGCTCTTAAGAGGGCTGGGTGGGCTGGTGGCAGGGCTGAGGGGGTGACTGGAGGCCCAGAGTCCCCGTAGCAGTGCAGGGGTGTTGTGAGGCCATCATCGACCTCCCCCCGGCTGGAAGACCTTACCTGTGACCCAGGAACTGGACCCCTCCAGAAGTTTACTGGGACAGGAGCTGGGCCCGGTGGATCACCGGGTCTGGGTCTGCAGCCAATGAGTCATAGCCATGAAATCACTACGCTAACAGTGTGACTTTGGGAGTGGACAGAAGGACACCTGCCCTGGAGTGGCCACCTTCATGCCACGATCTCACCCCATTCCCGAGGCCAATCATGGTGGACCGTGGATCTGGGCAGGGAGGGTGGGAATGGGGCGACGTGGCATGGTGTCTGCGGTCAGGGATCAGGCAGCAAGTGACATTCCTGCAGGTGGGAGGAGAGGTGGCCGGCACTTGACTCGTGCTGTGGGCTTTGCCGAGCAGATGCTGTGCCAGCAAGGTCGGGGTTTGCCGCAGGTGGTGGCAGCTGGTTCTGGACGCCTCCAGGCTCCACACAGAGCTGCTGCATTCCAGAACCTCAGTGGTTCTGCTGTCGTCTGCCGCCTGGGTAAGAAGCTGTCTGCAGAAAGGATGTCGTAGCTCTCCTCATAGGGAAGGGGTGGTGGTAACTCCAAACTGAGCTGGGAGGCTGGGGGCCGGGATGGGTATGTGAGGAAGGAAGGGCAGTTGCTGGACCGCAGGCGGCCAGCAGGGATCCCCTGTGCACTGTCCCTTCGCGACTTCTCCCCCAGGAACATTCCGATGCAATGTCAGGAGTGCCAGAGGCCTGAATTGAAAAGGAGGGGGGAGATGAGGTTTTGGGTCTTGCAGAAAAGGTTGGGAAGATCTGGACCCATCTAGAAGTTTGCTGTCCCCCCCCCTACTCCCTCCATCCCCCTCATCCCCCCCCCCCCAAAAAAAAAAAAACCTTCTGCCTGGTTCTGGAGGCTCAACCTTGGTCTCCTGGCTGGGTTTCCCAGCAGTCGGTGCGTGCACCTGATTGTGGCTGGCCCTGGGCCCAGTCCTCTGATGGGAGGAATGGTTAATTCCACACGGTCCTTCTTTCCCCTGCCCGATGAAAGCAGGTTGTCCTGTACACTTAGTCATCCTCTGGGTCTATTTCCATCAGCGATGATTGGAAACACACTGCGTCGGAATCATGCAAAGGCCTGTAGTGAGCCAGCCATGTCTGGGACAGCGGGAGGGCGAGCTGTGGAAGCCAAGGCTCTGGGCAGCTGGGGAGGCCAGGGGGCTTGTGGGTGCAAGCCTGCGGACCCTGGCGTACAGTCGAGTGGGCCTGGTCTCTCGGACTTTGCTGTGTGTGCCTGTGGCAGCGGTGGAGGGACCATGACCTCACTACCGGCTGGCTCCTCACTTAGCCTGCAGGAAGACCTTCTCTCCTTTGCTCTGGGGTCTGGTCTCTTACTTCTCCACCAGGGGGCTTCGTTGTGGAGGAGGTAGCAGATACTTGAAGAGTGAGGCCCGGCTGGTCCACATAAGGTCGGGGGTGAGGCCTCTCACCTTCTCCATTTATACGTCCATCGAGGATCAGCATCCTCTCGTATTCCCCAGTCTGTTCCCATGGCTCAAGTTCACTATGTCCCTGTCCTCGCTGAGTGCGTGAGGTCTCCCAGCAGTGGCCGGCCTCTCCCTCTAGGCTTGCACGTGCAGCGTCCGGGCTGTCATGCCGATTTAAGGTCTGCCATGGGCTGGCATCCCGGTTCCAAAGGCTTTGCGATGTTCCATTTGCGTCTTGGCAGAAGTACTTTGCAGAATTACTGTAGTAAGTTACGAAGCCCAGCTCCTGTGGAAGCGAGGAGTCGGAGGGTAGAGTAGACTTGACTCAGTGTCCTCAGCCTTGGGCGCTCTGGCTCGGAGTTCTTTCTCCCTTGCTGTTCACCGGTTGTCGAGTTTATGCCGCTGGGTGAGAAGGACACAGGGACAGGAAACGCAAAGCCAAAGCAGAGCTGCTTTGCTGACGTCTGAGGACGGCAGTGGGTGGAAAGGTGACTGCTGCCGTCCTGCTGGCCATGGGCCGTTTCTGTAGTTGCTCAGTGTCCTCGTGCCCCCTTGTTGTCACCGAACGCTGATGCCAGGGGAGCCTATGCGTTTGCCATCTCAGTCTTGGCCCTATCGCGGGCCGGCCGTCGTCTGCTTGCAGCACAGAACCGGGCAGCGAGACTCCAGGCTGGACTTATCTTCAAGTGACTCCTTAGGAAGGAATGTCCGCCGAGATGGCCGTTCCGATTTCTGTTCAAAAAGCTGACTCTCAGTTGCTGAGAAATGAGAAAGAAAATATTGTCTGTTTTGGTTGGAGCCTCACAAAACCAAAGTTGTGCGTTCTCATGCTCCCTGGGCAGTGGCAGTTAACTAACAAGCACTGCTTCTGGAGCGCGGCTGCTTTCTGGGGCCTCCGGAACAGGGCTGGCGTGGGGATAAGTACACGGACGGGAGGGAGGCACGTAGCAAGGCCGACCCAGGGACGAAGAAGACCGCGGCATCGCCAAATCAAAAAAGCAGTGAGAGGGGCCGGCACTGCAGCACAGAGGGTTAAAGCCCCAGTCTGCAGCGCCTGCATCCCATATGGGTGCCATCTGCTCCTCTTCCCAACCAGCTCTCTGCTATGGCCTGGGAAAGCAGTAGAAGATGGTCTAGGTCCTTGGGCCCCTGCACCCGGGTAGGGGACCCAGAAGAAGAACCTAGCTCCTGGCTTCGCATCAGTGCAGTTCCAGCCATTGTGGCCAATTGGGGAGTGAACCAGTGGGTGGATGGAAGACCTCTCTCTCTCTCTCTCTCTATCACTCTCTATCACTCTCTGTGTAACTCTGACTTTCAAATAAATAAATCTTAAAAAAAAAAAAAAAAAAAAAAAGAGAGAGAGGACTCCTCAGAGGTTGTTGTAAGTGGAGTTTGGAAGCTCCAAGCTGCATATCAGGAAAATGGGAAAAACCAGAAGAGGGGGCAGCACTAGCTGTGTTGGACGAATCAGAGGCTGGGAACAGGCCCAGAGGAGCACTGTCCACTCCCCGAACATGAGCGAACCCCAGCTTCTTGGTGCATGGACGGACAGCATCAGCGGTGGCAGGGAGCCTGTGCTGTGTGCAGTCTTGGCCTCCACTCCTGCCCACGCCGTCAGGAGCTGCGTCTTCACGTAGATCATAGGCATTGTTCTGTGTCGCTGGAGAGGAACTGTGAGACCGTGTCATTTCCCGTTCCAGCTTGCTGGGGGTGTTGACTTGGAAAACTGATGGGAGGCGGCCAGTCATGGCGTCTGTGGAAGGGAGCGTCCCTTCTCTGTGGTCACCCTGTAAGTGTCCGTCCTTGTCTCTCTTTTTTTTTCTTTCAGCCACATCAGCAGCGAGAGCTTCCTGTGTGACTGCCAGCTGAAGTGGCTGCCCCCATGGCTCGTGAGCAGGACGCTGCAGGCGCTGGTCACCGCCACCTGTGCCCACCCAGAGTCCCTGAAGGGCCAGAGCATCTTCTCGGTGCCACCCGAGAGCTTCGTGTGTGGTGAGAGTCTCTGGGATCCCTCCTTCCCCCCTTGTGAAGGCAAGGAGGCCGTGAGGAAGTCCTCATTGTGGGAGTGATTCCTGTGATGAGGGCAAACCCCGGCCCACGGCTGCAGATCAGCTGCTGGATGCAATTTATTTCCCACTGAAACCACACGCCGTGTTTACCGTACAGCGCCTCATTATGTGGTCGTTGGAGTACAAGCATTTAATCAGAAGGCAGCAGGAGTCGGTTCGCTTACAAATCAGAATAATCAGTTGCAGGAAGATGGTTCTGTTGTTTCAAAAGGCCTCTGGTGCCCGGGTTTAGCTGGGAGTTTACTCAGCGTACTAGGCTGGGGTTTTAATGTGTGTTTCTTTCCAACCCCAAGCATGAAAGGTTAAATACAGGAAGAACAAGTCTCAGGAGAACAGTTGCCGTAGTAAAAATAATTCCTTGATGTTGACTTGTACTCTTGCTGTGTCTCCAGACCACTAAAATCTGCACTTGTAGCTTTAAAGTTCCCTTTTCTCCTTCTGAGTTTTGGAATGTGGCTCTCGCCATGTATTTGAGCAGAGTGGTGGGGATCCAAGTTTGGTTGCAAAAGAGCACAGAAAATGCTGAACAGCTGCAAATACACGCACAGGCACACGCACGCCCGCCGAGACAGCGGCGAGGCAGCAGGGGAGCTCAGAGGAGCAATGGTGTTGAGGTCCTCCCGGTATCAGGGCAGGAGCAAGGGTGGGGTCCCCGGGCCCGACTGCAACTCCTGTGGGTCTTTGCCTGTTTGCCCTGAGCCTTAGGAACCCTGCTGTGATGATCCCCACCCCTCCCCCCACTTCAGGGTAAGGGGCCCTCTGTGGGCCATTTTTCCCTCCTCCTGTTTGGCCACTGCGATAGCCAGTGTGTCTGCCGGGAGCCAGGGATGAGCACACTCCTTCCACACACCCGCCCGTCACCCCCGCCAGCACCGCGTCTGAGGGCCGGCTTCCCGACCCTGCCTGCCAAGCTGTGCCAAGCTGTGATGAGCAGCTCCTGGTATCTAGGCACGTGTGTGGGCCACGGATCGTCAGTCCTCTCTTCATCAAGTCTCGGACCGTTAAGCTGTGTCTAGGGGCCAGTGTTGGACACCGCAGGTTAAGCTGCTGCTTGCAAATCCCGGCATCCCGGGTGGGAGCCCCACTTCAAACCTCAGCTGCTCCATTTCCAGGCCAGCTTCCTGTTGTTGGGCCTGGGAAAGCAGCGGAAGATGACCTGAGGACCAGGGCCCCTGCCACTCATGTAGGGCACCCAGATAGAGTTGCTGGCTTTGGCCTGGCCTGGACCAGGTTGTTAGAGCCATTTGGGAAGCGGATCAGCAGGCGAACGATCACTCCCTCTGTTTCTGTTTCTCTACCTTTCTGATAATCGATCTTTAAAAGATTTGTAAGTGCTCAGCTCCCTGAACCTCAGCTTGGTGCCGCTTCTCCCTCCTTCCAGGTGCAGGGCCACCATTGCCTGTGGCTGAGCCAGGGGTACGTGTGACTCACCACCCTCAGTCTGCAGCCTGCAGGAGCTGCTTCCTGTCTCATCCTCTCTCCTGTGTGGCAGCTCAGGCTTCTCCTAATGCAGCCATTAGGTGTTGATGGGACTCATGTTAGCCCTTGGCAGGAGATGAGAGTTACAAGCTCTGTGGGAGTCTCTCACTCTTTTATTTCTTACTTTTTTTTAGATTCATGTATTTATTTGAAAGGCACAGTTAGAGAGAAGCAGAGCCAGAGAGATTCAAGCTGCTGATTCACTCCCCAGATGGCTGCAGCTGGGCCCATCCAAAGCCAGCAGCCAGGATCTTCTTCCGGGCCTCCCACATAGGTTCAGGGGCCCAAGGACTTGGACCATCTTCCATTGCTTTCCCAGGCACATTAGCAGGGAGCTGGATTGGAAGTGGAGCAGCCAGGACTTGAACTGGCATCAATATGGAATGTATCGACGTAATTCGCTGAGCTTGAATGTCAGCCCCCTATTCCTTCTTAGTAATGGTGAATGTGATGTGGATATGCACTTCATGTGTGTATTGATCAAATGGTAGACATTAGGTTGTGTTGTATTATTGGCTTTTGGGAATCATATTGCCATGAACATTCACTAACAGATTTTTGGAAAAAAACAGCTATTTGAATCATTTGCCAGTGCTCATTTGTCTTTTTATTATTTGGTTTTAGGAGTTCTTTTTATGTTCTGTGTGTCAAACCCTCATCATGCATAGGATTTGGCAGTATTTCCTCCCATTCTGTTGAAATTTTACATTTGGTGGAGCCCAGTTTCTCTTTTTTTATGATTTGTGCTTTTGGTGTCTTACCTAAGAAACTGCTGCATGACACAAGGTCACAAAGATCAGTATTTTCTTCTAAGAGTTTTATAATTTTAACTCTGAAAATAGCCCTTCAGTTTTGTTCTTTTTAAGATTGTTTTTGACTATTTGAGTTCTTTGCCATTTCCCTATAAATTTTTGGATCAGCTTTTCAATTTTTGGGGATTTTGTTAGAGAATGGATTGATTGAATGTGTTGATTAACTTGGAGAATATCATCATAATGGTGTTTTCCCAATCCATGAACATAGGATGTCTTTCTACTTTTTTAGCTTTTTAAGAATTTTTTACCATCAAGCTTTTTAATGTACAAACCTCATACTTATTTTGTTAAATGTATTCATGTTTGTTTTGGTATTACTGTAGATGGAATTCTTGATTTCATTCATGGATTTTCATTACTAGTGCATAGAAATACAATTTAGTTTTGGATATTGCAGGCTAGGCTGACATAATTTATTAGTTCTATGATCGTCATGTCACTTGAAAAAAAAAAAAAGACATTTTCCTTTCCTATCTGGATGGGCTTTGTTTCTCTTTCTCGCCTAATTGCCACAGCTGGACGCTCCAGTACAATGTTGAGGAACAGCGGTGTGGTCAGATAACCTTGGCTTTTCCCCCCTAATCTTTGGAGGAAAGTATTCATTCTTTCACCATGAAGTATGATGACAGATGTGGCTTTTTGTAGATAACCCTTTGTAAAAAATTTTTTCTGAAATGCAGAGTGATTGAGAGATCTTCAGTCCACTGGCTTACACCCCAAATGGCCATAATGGCCAGGATTGGGACAGATCAAAGCCAGGAGCCTGGAACTCCATCTAGGTTTTAGACATGGATGGCAGGGGCCCAAGTGCTTACACCATCATCTGCTGCCTTCCCAAGCTCATTAGCAGGGAGCTGGATTGAAATAGAGCAACTGGGACTTGAAGTGGCGCGCACAGGGGATACTGGCATTGCGGGAGGTGAACTGATGCTGTGCCACAGGGCTGGCCTCTGAATGATCATTATGAAGCTGTAGAAGTTCCCATCCTAAGTGTAATTTATTGTGTTTTTTTTTTTTTCTTTTTAATCATGAAAAGATGTTGGATTTTTTTTTTCTTTTTTTTCCTGCAAGGAAGCAATGATGTTTGACTAACATTGTATATTCCATTGTTGGTTTTTTGTTTTTTTGTTTTTTTTTTTTGTTTGTTTGTTTGTTTTTTAAGATTTACTTATTTGAAAGGCAGAGTTACAGAGAGGCAGAGGCAGGGAGAGAGAGACCTGACATCCAAATGGCCACAGCAGCTAGAGCTGGGACAGTCAAAAGCCCGGAGCTTCTTCCGGGTCTCCTACGTGGTTGCAGGGGCCCAAAGATTTGGGCCATCCTCTGCTTTCCCAGGCCATAGAACTGGATTGCAAGTGGAGTAGCCTGGACTTGAACTGGCAATCACATGGGATTCTGGCACTGCAGGCAGTGGCTCTATCCCCTATGCCAGTGCACTGGCCCCCCATTGATTTTTGATGTTAAACCAACCTTGCTTTCCTGAGATCAACCTAACTTGATCATGGAGTGTAACACCTTTTATGTGTTGTAGGATTCAAGTTGTTAGTGTTTTTCGTGAAAAATCTTATGATTTTTCTTGAAGATTTTGACTTTTATACTCAAACGATGCTGTTCTGTGGCGGCATATGTATAATTTGGGGAAGGGGTCTTGTTTTATTATTACTGTTCACATAGAATGAGGATCCTTTTTTTTTGTGGTTGGGGGGAAGGTTTGGTGTTAATCCTTTATTTGGTAAAATTCACCACAGTAGTCACTTGCATCTAGGCTTTTCCCTGTGGGAAGTTTTAAAATTAGTAATTCAGTCTCCTGTTAATGTCTATTTAGAATTTCTTTTTCTTCTTGGGTCAGCATTAATGGGTTCTAGGAATTGTGTTTCTTATCCAGGGCAGCTAATCTATTGACCTCCTGTTGTTCAGAGTGGTCCCCATACTCCTTTCATTGCTGTGAGCTTGGTAGTAGGCGTGTCCTGATTCCAGTCATGTGAGCATTCTCCCCTGTTGCTAAGTGTAACTAAAGGATTTTCAATTCGGTTTATTTCTCAAAGGATGAAGTTTTGTGTCCATAGATTCTCCATTTTTCTCTTTGCTTTATTTCTGCTTGCTTTGGGTACAGCCTGCTCTTTTTCTAATTAAAAAAAAAAAAAAAGATCTATTTATTTGAAAGGCAGAGAGTGAGATCAGTCTTCCATCTGCTAGTTCATTCCCCAAAAGGCCCCAACAGCCAGGCTGAAGGTAGAAGCCAGAAGCCTAGCATTCCTGGCTTGAGCCACGTTCAGCTGCCCTTCCGGGCACATTAGCAGGGAGCTGGATCAGAAGCAGAGCAGCTGGGACTTGAACTGGTGCCCATATGGGATGCTCATGTCTCAAGCAAAAGCTTAACCTGCTGTGTCACGGGCTGGGCCCTTTTAATTTTTTAAGGTAAATGGCACTGTTAATTTCAGGTATGTTCTAATCTAGGCATTTACAGCTAAACATTTAAAAACATTGTTTTAGCTGCATCTTGGGAGTTTGGGTATGGTATGTTTTGGTTTCCATTTAGATCAGACTGTTAGCTAATTTCCTGTGTGATTTCTTTGCTTTATTAGAAGTGCACTGTTCAAGTTCCACAAAATAATTTCCCAGTATTCTTTCTGCTGTTGATTTTTAGCTTTGTTCCACTGTCATCGAGGAAGATACTTTGTGTGATTTCCATCTTTTAAAATTTATTGATTCTTATTTTGTGAGCGAAAATGTGGTCTGCAATGGGGAATATTCCATGTGCACTTCAAAAGCGTGTTTATTCTGCTGTTGTTAGGTGGAGTGTTCCATTGGTATCTGTCCAGTATGTTTGGTTTATGCTGTTGTGCAAGTCTTCCCTGCCTTGTTGATCTCCTGCCTAGTTTTTCTATCCATTATTGAATAGTATTGCACTCTATAGATTGGGAAACTGGAGAATGCAACACAGCAATCTGTCACATTTTGATATTTTCTACTATTCTCTTAGGTGTGTTTGTAATTTTTATGTTTGCCTCATGGCTTGAACCCTTCCTGTTATAAAGTGTTACTCTTTCTCTTTAGTAAAAAGTTTCCTTTGAAGTCTGTTTTGTCTGATAGTAGAGAAATCTTTTAGCTGTTTTGTTGACTGTTTCCTAGTTGTGTCTTTGAATATAAAATGTGTCTCTTGTAGACAGCATGTGGCTGGACCATGGCACTTTATCCATTACAACAAGTCTAGCCTTTGGACTAGTGTTTCATTTTTAACATAACTGATAAAGAATTTCCCACTAGACATTTCTTTATGGTTTATCTTGCTTCTGTGTTACTGCTTTTGTATCCAATGGATATTTTCTGGTTTACCATTTGAATTCCATGTTGTGTCTTTTATGTTTCTATGTATTTGAAAGGTAGCCTTAAGGTCTTCCAACCAGTGGTTCACTCCCCAAATGGGTGCAGCAGTCAGGGCGAGGTAAGGACAAAGCCAGGAACCTGGAACTGCATGTGGGTCTCCCACGTGGATGGCAGGGGCCCACGAACTTGGGTTCCTCTCCTGCTGCCTTTCCAGGCACTTTAGCAGGGAGCTAGATGGGAAGTGGAGCAGCCAGGACTTGACCTGGTGCTCATATGGGATGCCAGCATTTGCGGGCATGTGCTCAACGCATCACAGCACAACACCAGCCCCTTTAGTTTTTAACAGTTATGGGGGTTAAGATAAACATCATAGAAAAGTGTATTTTAAATTAATGATGTTAACTCATTTCCATCACTTGTGTTATTGTCGTTCATGCTGCATTTTTAGATAAGCACATAACACAGGTTCATAATTATTGCTTTATGTAGCTTTTACCAATTTGAAAGGTGGAGTTAGAGAAAGCAGCGTTCAATCCGCTGGTTCCTTTCCCAAATCCCCATCCTCTGACCACGCCTCTTCCTGCCTCTGAGCATGGCAGTTGATGGCAACAAGTCACCCGGTCACGGTGTGAGGAGCTCCTCTGTAGCAGAGGTGCTCCCCCGGCCATCGTTGGGGTTCTTCGTCTTTGGTGTTGACGGCTGACTGTGGTGTGTCTGCGTGTGGGTCTCGGGTGTGTGGATGCGTAGTTTTCCTCTGCTTTGGAAGGTCCGAGGCCTCTCTTCTTCCCACTCTTGGTTGTCCATTATGTGTGCCTCGCTAGGCGTGGCACCGTCCCGTAGCTCTGTTTTCTCAGACTGGATAACGTCCGCCGCCAGGTCCCCCGTCTGCTGACTGTGGTGTCGGCTCAGTTCCGCGCTGGCATCTCTCCACTGGATCTTTCATTTCAGTTACTGTGCTTTTGAATCCCACGGTTTCCATTTGGATTCCTTTTTTATCATTTCTTTCTCTTCATTGATACTCAGTGCTCTCATACTTTCATTCCTGCAGTTCTGTAAACATATTTATTTATAATAGCTGACTTAAAGCCTTTGTGTAATAAGTCCAAGATCTGGGCCTAATTGGGAACGGTTTGTGTTGCCTGCTTTTTTTCTTGGTTCGTTGGGTGTTGCATAATTTGTTGTTGAAGAATGGGCATTAAAAATAATGAGGTGGGGCCAGCGCTGTGGCTCACTAGGCTAATTCTCCGCCTTGTGACGCTGGCATACTGGGTTCTAGTCCCGGTCGAGGTGCCAGATTCTGTCCCGGTTGCCCCTCTTCCAGGCCAGCTCTCTGCTGTGGCCAGGGAGTGCAGTGGAGGATGGCCCAAGTCTTGGGCTCTGCACCCCATGGGAGACCAGGAGAAGCACCTGGCTCCTGCCTTCGGATCAGCATGATGCGCCAGCCGCGGCGGCCATTGGAGGGTGAACCAACGGCAAAAGGAAGACCTTTCTCTCTGTCTCTCTCTCTCTCACTGTCTACTCTGCCTGTCAAAAAAAAAAAAAAAAAAAACAAAAAACCAAAAACAAAAACGAGGCAGCTCTGGAAATGAGAGTCCCCATGTGCTAGAGGGTTGTCACTGCTGTTTAATGTTAGTTTATTTAGTGACCTTTCTGGGACACACGTGAGCCTACTCTATACAGCCCCAGTGAGTCCTGGCCGGCCTGCTTAGTGGTTAAGCACTGGACAGAGTCCTTAAGGCACTTCAACCACACAGCCTCCCACCCGTTGCCCAGGGTCAGGGGGTGGGGCTGCCAGCACTTCCTGTTGGTGCAGACCCCCAACCAAGCTCGGGCGCAGGTGAGCCGTGAGGACGCTGGGTCCTCCTGGGCGCGTGCACAGCCCTGCACACGCGTGCGGCCTTCTCGATCCCCAGGAATGTGCTGATGCTTTCAGGCCTCCGTCAGCATTCATCCCCTCGCTGTGCTCTCTGGCTTTCTTGGTCAGCCGCTTGTTGGCCCCAGCCGGTCCTGTCTGACAGCTGTGCCGTCGGACAGCGGCTGCAGGTTACAGTCTCACGGAGGTAGGGCTTCCTTCGCTGAGCAAACCACATCAGGCCAGACAGACAAGGAAGCCAGGTTGCTGCCTTACTGGTCCCAGAGTCACAGTCCTCTGGGGAGGGGGCTCCAAGCCCATCCTGTGCCCCTGTGACTGTCCGACTGCTGCTCCGAAGGCCGCTGTGGAGCTGGGAGGAGAGAAATGGGGCGTGGGAGGAGTTAAAGCGCCCCAAGACTCAGGTTTCCTACTGAGATGGAGCCCTCTTGAATCCATGCTCCAGGAACTGTAAGCCTTTAGCTTTCCAGGATTGTGAAAAGCAGAGTGGATTGTGAGCACTTTTCAAGTATTCCAGTGTGTTAATGGAGGGCAGACTCGTGGATGCCTTCAGTCTGACACTGGCTGTGCACGATACCCCATCGTTGAGGAAGGTCCGGGAGTCGTGACTGGTGCTTCCTGATTCCAAGGGCGTTTTGTTGAGAGTAACCAGATAAAACCAGTTGTAGTCAGGCTGGGGACATTGTTGGGTTCCTTGAAAATTGAGTAGTGGTGGGATAGTTTCTAGCCAGTAGTGGGTAATCACAGAGGTGAGCCCTGGTGAGACTTGGAACTGTGCATGGTAGAGTGGGTGGTGCACAGGCACTGTGCTGCCCCCTGTGTGACACACTTCCTTGCTGGCGTGCAGCACCTGCTCCCTGTGAGGTAGCAAGTCTGCGGGGGACTGACGGGGGACCTTTGTCTCCCCAGATGATTTCCCAAAGCCGCAGATCATCACCCAGCCAGAGACGACCATGGCCGTGGTGGGCAAAGACATCCGGTTCACGTGCTCGGCAGCCAGCAGCAGCAGCTCCCCCATGACCTTCGCCTGGAAGAAGGACAACGAGGTCCTGGCCAATGCGGACATGGAGAACTTCGCCCACGTGCGCGCGCAGGACGGGGAAGTGATGGAGTACACCACCATCCTGCACCTGCGCCACGTCACTTTCGGGCACGAGGGCCGCTACCAGTGTGTCATCACCAACCACTTCGGCTCCACCTACTCCCACAAGGCCAGGCTCACTGTGAATGGTACGGCTTCTGTCCAGTGCACAATTCTGCAAACCGTATTCCTGAGTGCTCCTGGTTCCCTGTGCCCTAGCAGGGAAACACAGTTACAGAGCTACACTGGTCCCAGGGCTTGACCCAGAGCAGGTGCTGCAGACCCAAGGCTTATTCTTGTTTGCTTGGGTGACTTCTGAAAGTTCTTTTTGATTCAATTTGAAGGGCAGAGAAAGGGAAAAACAGAGATGTTCGACCTGCTGCAGGCTCACCCAGCAATTGTCCAGAACAGCTGAGCCTGCACCAGGTAGAAGCCAGGAGCCTGGAACTCTGGGTGGCAGGGACCCAAGTGCTTCAGCTGTCACCTGCTGCCTCCCAGGGTGCTCACTAGCAGGAAGCTGGATCGAAAATGGAGAAGCCGGGACTCAGATCAGACTCTGATTTGGGATGCTGGCATCTGAAGTGACAACTGAACTACTGTGACAGAGGCTTTCCCACATAACAGAAAAACGATTTTAAAGTTAACTGAAATTGGGACGGTAAACCTTGTGTTTTCATCCCTGCGTATCCTCCACTACGCCCAGCGTCTGGGCTCTAGGTTCTGGGTGTGCCCTGGACCTGGGTAGGTGGCACTGCTGTGGGGCCAGAGGAAAGCAGGGGGTCGGGACATGGTCCTTCCGCTCAGGGACAGCCTCAGAGCCCATGAAGGCAGCTTTCTCCAGGACTGTGCTAGGTGTGGCCCTGGGGTGGGGGTGAGGAGATGGCATGAGCAGTGGCCTGCTTCGGCACCTGCACCCCAAGGAGTTGTCTACTGGGCGTCCCACGTGCAGCGTGGCTAGGCCAGCAGGCAGCAGGAAAACCTGTTGCTTGCTGCCCCTTCAGCCAGGCCATCTGGGCCTGGGGGGGGGGGGCAGGGAGTGGGGTCTCACTGTTGCTCCAGGACCTGAGTATGGAGTTGCTGCGGGGGCAGTCTGGCCAGGAGCTGCAGGGATGTGTGGCTGGGGGCTTTGGGGACTGGCACCGGCTTCTTTACGGAGCAGGAGGCGTCCTGTGCATCCCAGGGAGGGCCCCGCAGGCCTGCCCCGCACAGCGCCAGCCCACCCTGGCAGTGGGCGAGTGCAGGCAGGCAGGCATCAGCCCCAGCACTTGTAGAGGACGCCACAGAGTGAGGCAACTGGCTGAGGTGGGGGGGTGGTTTCTCAAATTCTGGTCTCTGTGGCGCTTCTGGGCGGACCCGATGTGTGAGGGGAGGCTCCTGGGAGGGTTTGGCCAGGCTGGGGAGAAGCTGGGCAGCCAGGGGACATGCCTGGCTGCACTGAGAGGCGGCAGTGGGGGCCCGGGCCGACGCTGGTGCCAGTGGTGCCAGGCGCAGTAGTGAGTAGGGGTTCTGAGTGCCTCACATCCGGCTGCGCCCCAGCCTCGCCCTCATCCCCCGTGTTTGTTCTCCAGTGTTGCCGTCATTCACCAAGATGCCCTACGACATCGCCATCCGCACGGGCACCATGGCCCGCCTCGAGTGCGCCGCCACCGGCCACCCCAACCCGCAGATCGCCTGGCAGAAGGACGGGGGCACTGACTTCCCGGCGGCCCGCGAGCGGCGCATGCACGTCATGCCGGACGACGACGTGTTCTTCATCACGGACGTGAAGATCGACGACATGGGCGTTTACAGCTGCACTGCCCAGAACCTGGCCGGCTCCATCTCTGCCAACGCCACCCTCACTGTGCTAGGTTGGGCGCTGATAACAGGCGCTGGGGGGAGGGGTTCGCAGGTGTCAGACACTTAGGCTGCGTGGTGGAGCCTGGGGTGCCTGAGTGCACTGGCTGCCTCTGAAACTCTGGGGCTTGCTAAGGGTTTTCTTGATCATGGGGTTCAGTTTCTTTTCAAACAAGATTGGCAGCCAGTGAATTAGTCTTCACAGGGCGCCGGCATGGGGCAATCTGGTGCTGACTGCCTGCTGAACGGGGTGGGGCGGGGCAGCTGAGAGGCCGCAGTGGCCCAGCACGGGCTGCCCGCCGTCGGGGCTTGTGTGGCCCGAGTTCATCCCCTCTCGGTGATGGGGCCCGCAGAGTGGCCATGTCCGGGTTGTCCTCGGTGCAGAGTACAAGGCGGGACTGCAGCATGTGAGGCTCACACGGTAACAGAGCGTCTCTGCCTTACCCACAGAGACTCCGTCCCTGGCAGTGCCCTTGGAAGACCGTGTGGTGTCTGTGGGAGAAACGGTGGCCTTCCAGTGCAAAGCCACTGGCAGCCCCCCGCCCCGCATCACCTGGCTGAAGGGGGACCGGCCGCTGAGCCTCACTGAGCGGCACCACTTCACCCCCGGCAACCAGCTGCTGGTCGTGCAGAACGTGGTGGCAGAGGACGCGGGCCGCTACACCTGCGAGATGTCCAACGCCCTGGGCACGGAGCGTGCGCACAGCCAGCTGAGCATCCTGCCCACGCCGGGCTGCAGGAAGGACGGGACCACCGTGGGCATCTTCACCATCGCCGTGGTGTGCAGCATTGTGCTGACGTCGCTGGTCTGGGTGTGCATCATCTACCAGACCAGGAAGAGGAGCGAGGAGTACAGCGTCACCAACACAGGTCCGCGGGCAGCAGCGGAAGCAGTGACGTTGTTACGACGCAGGACTTGGCAAGGGGACTGGGTCCATGGGGCTTTTCAACAGTTTGACCCTCTGGGGAACTCCAGAATCGGGGACAGGGTGGCATCCGGGAAGCTGAGGCTTCAGGCCCGCTGTCGCGATGCTGCCTTTCCGGAACTTAGCACCGAGAATGGGGCGCGGTGAGCTCTGCAGCGCTGGGGCCTTGCTGGCTCAGTGGCGTCCCGTGCCCTGCTTCTGTGGGCTCCATCTCCCTTCCCGTCCCTGCGCGTGACCTCTGTGGCTGATGTATCCATCATGCTGTTTACGCCAGGGTGTGTCCACACGGCCTCGATGGCCTTGCCTGGGAGGATCCGCTTCTGGCCCTGACAGTGAATACATGCGCGTGTCTTGTCACTGCGCCCCAGTGTCTCACTGTCCTGTTCCCTTGCAGATGAAACCATCGTGCCACCCGACGTCCCAAGCTACCTCTCTTCTCAGGGGACCCTTTCTGACCGGCAGGAAACTGTGGTCAGAACTGAGGGTGGCCACCAGGCCAACGGACACATTGAGAGCAATGGTGAGGTTTCAGTGCGCAGGCGCGGGCGTCCCACCCCTTCCCTGGGCTAGGGCTTGGCTTTAGCTGGAGCAAATTGGGCCAATGTCTGGGGGTGGGGCTTCCTGACTAAGGCTCCATGTGTTCTGGGCCTCCTCTACACCGGTTCTGTGAGGCTCTACAGTCCTGTCTCTGATGAAAGTATTATACTGGGCTTTGTGATTCTGTCAGGAGAAAGGAGGGCCTGACCCACCGACTGCCCTGGAAGCCGCCACACTGTCTGTGCAGGAAAGGAGTCCAGAAGGTTCCCTCCACAGTGCAAGGGGGCAGCTGTGTTTACCCAGAGAGGGGTTAGTGGGCAGGGGGCTATGCACAGATGTAGACATGCAGTCCCTCCTCTGTGTATGCACAGGGAGCCCAGACACCAGCCCCGTGGATCCTGGGAACGGAGAGGGGGAGGGGTATACCCAGGCCTGCTCGGGCCTCAGCCGGGGAGCTCCTCTGCTGGGGCAAAAGGCTCCTCCTCCTCCTCCTCAGAAGGGCTTGTCTGATGTGGCCGTGGGAAGGGAGGGTCAGAAACATGGCCCTTGTTGACCCCCCTGGTGGGAACGGCAGTCCGCCCTTCTGAAGAACATGGGTGAGAGAGACGGTGCTGGGAGTGTGGCCCGTTCCTTGGACCGTGTGGCAATCTCTTGCAGGTGTCTGTCCCCGAGATACGGGCCTATTTCCAGAGACTGACGTTCACGGCATTGCATGCAGGCAGCCCAGGCTGTGCGCTGGGTCTAGTAAAGAGCCATGGAAAGCACTGGAGAAAGCAGACGGGACTCCTGGCCTGCCTAAGATGGGTATGCAGTGTTTATGTCAGGAAACGTACTTGCTTTCTGCATTCAGGATTTGGGTTTACCTCACTCTCTGAAAGATGCTTCAGAGGTCTCTGACTGCCTCTGAGTGTGGCATTCAGTATATAAGCAGGAAGGTCAGGCCTGGCTCACTGTTGTTCCAGAATGGTGTGTCTCTTTAAATCTTCCGTCCACTAAGCCAGATCCCAGTTCCTGAGCGTTGCAGAATTCTAAGCAACCGGGGCCCAAATGCAATGTGCAGTTTGAGTACCTTTCCAGCAAGCTATTTTGTGACTGAATTTCTGTAATTTTTCAGATGATGCTTAACTGGGCACAGCACCTAATTGAAATCAAAAGTTTTCCCTGCCATCCAAGAGTAGGGTCACCCCATGTGTACAAAGTAGAGAGAATCTGGAGCACTTAGGCATAAATGTCTCCTCCTTTAGCTGAGAACATCCTTTGGGAGAGCTGGGTGCACAGCTGGCCACAGAGGACTGCCGTGTGCCTGTGCTGGCGTCGAGCAGTGTCTCTGGGCGTGGGCCTGGGGCTGGGTGTCGATGGCGCTCTCTGGCTCTTTCAGAACACAGCGGCGCGGTCGTGTGCACGGACTGCAGCTCTGCGGCGGACACTCCCTCCAGGGAAAAGGCCTTGCAGCCCCAGCCTGTGGCCAGAGACAGCACCCAGCCAGGGACCCTGAGCGGCCGAGAGCATTCGCCACAGCATTTGGGCAGTGCAACCACGGACGGGTCCCTGTACCCCAGCAACCACGACAGAATGGCGGCTCCCGGGGGGAAAGGTAACTTCCTGCCATGTTCTGGGGAGCCTGTGGCACGGCCGGTGGAGGGGGCTGGCCGGCCTGCGGGCTCTGACCTGCCCTCTCTTTCCGCCTAGAGGATTCTTCTCGGACGTTAGCGCGGTTGTATGAAGCGGACTCGGCCGACGTGCAGCCGTCGTGTGCGCTGAGCGCAGGCCGTGTGCAGCACGCAGAAGCCGCCCCAGCCTTTGCCCAGCACTTGCTTGGCTCCCACGGGCACGTCCCGCAGGCGTGCGACTCTGGTCCCGAGTCCGGGACGCGGAGGGGGCCGCTGCTGTTGGCGCCGAGAAGCTAGGCGCTTCTACCTCAGCTGTTGTGGCAAGGGCTCCAGGCACGCGGGAGCAGAGGCCGGGAGCAGCTCGGGTTCGAGCGGCGCTGATGTGTACATAGCGGGAACGTCCGTGTACAGCGTCTGTCGCTCAAGGACAGAAATGCAAGAGGCTATTTGTGTACAAAAGGCAGGAAAAGTATTTGATACCATTGTACATAAGAGTTTTCAGAGATTTCATATATATTATATATCTTTTACAGAGGCTATTTTAATCTTTAGTGCATGGTTAACAGAAAAAAAATTATACAGTTTTGACACTATTATTTTTCCTATCAGGTTGCTGTTTAACTTTGGAGGGGGTGGGGACATGTTCTGGTGCCTTAACGCGTGGCTGGGATTAGGAGAGGCTAAAACGACGTTTGTTCCGGGAGTCTGGGGTGGGTGGGGAAGGAAGGAAGTCCTTGCATTTGTATTGCACTTGGCAGGACGGGCTCGAGGCTGCCTGGCAGTCAGATGCCCTTGGCAGACAGGTGCTCCGGCTTTCAGGTTGTGAGTTGGTCTGGATGCCCGGGAGCAGCTGGTGAGAACAGGCCCGCACTGCCTGTCGGCCTTCCCGGAAGCCTCCTCTATGCCAAATGCAGATGCGCTCCTCGTGGTGCCACGTGACGGCTCCTAGAGGCCGTTAGTGACGGCTGCTGGCGTCGGCTCCTGTGGATTTTAGGTCTGGGATGCTTTCAGAGCTTCCCGTGATGCTTTAGTTCTGCCAACAGAATTACTGACAGTGGACTTGGGGGATGAAAAAGGATACAGTTCTTTGTCTTCAGGGCTAGCTTCTATCTACTGAGGGTCCAGAGCAGGCCTGTCCCCGCCGTTCAGACTAGGGGAGATCCAGCCCTGGACCTCGGTTCTGGGTGTATTTGCACTTTTGAGCTCCATAGCTAACCGTCTTGTGAGTGCCCGTGTGTCATTCAGTCAAAACTGCATTGAAACAAGGTCCTCCAAATCTCAGCAAGCAAGTGCCTGTGGCCGCGATGCTCGAGCGAGGCACTGACAGCATGGTTACCTATGTGCATCTCGCTGTCTGTCAGCTGTCACCACTGCTCCGAAAGGTAAGCACATGTAGGGTTCAGTCTCTACAGCTCCATGGCTGATGTTACTTCCACACAATCTGTGAATTTGCTGCTTCTGAGAGGCAATGTGAAAGAGGAAGTATTACTTTTATGTACAAAGTTATTTATTTATAGAAATTTTGGTACAATGTACATTGAAAAACATGTAAAATATTGAAGTGTCTAACAAATGGCATTGAAGTGTCTTTAATAAAGGTTCATTTATAAATATTAAGCATCTGGCTGGAGTCATTCGTCTAGATGCCAGTATTCCTGAGTTCCAGTCATTCTGCCTTTAATTATTTTTCCCCCAAAAAGGAAGGAGAAACTCCAGGCAGAGCAGCGTCCACGTGGCCCGGAGTCCTGGTCTTCACCCTGCAGGAGGGCCCCCAGGACCGGGCTCCCCTTGTGCCGCCATGGCAGCTGCTCGCGTCCCTTCCCACCCCACTCGGCACCCGGGTGCATTTCTAGCTGAGCTCTGAGTCTAATTCCCAACAGCAGCCTGGTTGCCCAGCGAGAACGCCCACTGCGCACCTGCGCTTCTACTCTGTAGCCCAGCTGTGACCTCCCACAATGGGAGTGGGGGGGGGGACGGACACCCACAGACCACGTAGGCCCGAGGCTGCTTCCTTTTCCCCAACTAGCCTTTTTGTGAAAATTATAACCATCTTGCCTTCTGCTGACTTCAGCATGAGGTGCAAGAAGAGAAAGAGCAAATGAGAGCTCAGAAGGGCTGGGCCTCAGCATCGGCAAGCTTATTTATTAGGGGTCCTGAGGAAACCATTCAAGGCGGCACAGGGGCCTTGAGCACTGGGCGGGGTGCTCAGGTGGCCAGGCCAGCGGCTGCTCACTAGGAGGGGCTCCGGCCTGGGGCTCCTCGTCACAGGAGTGGTGTCGGGCGGCTCTGCTTCAGGGACTTTGCCTGCCAACTCCCCCCAGCAGGCTGCGGGTCTGGTCGTAAGCCCCCAGGAAGATGAAGCCGCCCAGACTGATGGCTGTCATGCGAGGCAGGACACCTGCAAATAACCTGGGAAGAGAGGAGAGTTCAGAACACGGGTGTGTATTAAAAGGATCAACTCTAAACCCGCAGCTTGTGCAACTTACACACCGTGCTCGTCAGGCCCCGCGCAGCACTGACAATGTTTTTCCTTTTAGGAGGGCACTAAATCACATTCCCAAGGAGGCTTGTTGACGTTTGAGCCCAGCTGTTTGCTGGCTAACATGGCTACAGACCAACTGAAGACGGACTCTGTCCAAAACAATAGTTGCCTTGAAGCGTTCAGCCCCTCTTCCCGTTAGAGATGATGCAACCGTCTTCATTAAAAAGGAGTCAGAGGGCTGAAGCCCAGGAAAGGCGGGCAGGCGCGCCGCGCCTCAAGGTCTCAGGTGGCCCCTGCGAGGAGAGGGGGAGGACTGTGGCCGCCGCATCTCGTCCTCAGGCCCACGCCAAGGCATCCGATCTCGGCATGGCTGCTCTCTTTCCCGGCCTATTTCAGGGCATGACAGCAGAGCGGGCTGCGGCGGGGAAGGTGCCCCTTGCCCAGTGTCGGCTTAGCAACAGAGCAGTGCAGAGGAGGGGGACGAGGTCGCCGGGAAGGGACTCGGGCTTTAGAAGCTGCCACGTGCAGACGCTTGTTCCAAGCCACTCCCTGGGGCACTGCTGAGATGAGAGTACCAATGATGCCCCCTGGTCAGACAGTCTGGCACAGTGGAAAACTAGAGGGGCAGACGAGGCAGCTGACAAGAGCAAGGCAGGCCAGAGTCACCAACAGGCTTACAAACAGGTCCCTCGGCCGTACGCACTACGCCTGCGTGGCAGAAACAACTGGGGGGGCTGTGTCCCAAATGTGAGGGGCAGCTTGCTCCACGAAGGAGAAAGTGGGCTTTCAGTCATGAAGTGGAAACGATGCGTAGAGTGCAGAGCCAGGGCAGGCGTTCGGCCTAGCGGTTGCGATGCCGGGTGGGATGCCCACATCCTGCATCTCAGTTTCCTGCTGCCAGCTTCCTGCTAATGCAGACCCTGGGAGACAGCGGTGGAGGCGCAGGTCCCTGGATCGCTGCCAGCCCCATGGAAGCCCAGGCAGCTGTGGGCGTTTGGAGGGTGACCCGGCAGATGGGAGTGCTCACTTGTTCTCCCGCTCTCTCTGCACTTCCAATAAATAAGTATTTTTAAAATTAAGTCTCTTTTTCTTATTTAAAAATAACAAAAAAGTCACATAGAAGATGATAATATACTTTTAATAAGAACCGAGTTGCTCAGCTTAGCTTCCTGCAGACTTTTTGGATGGCGTGGGTGCTGGAGGCACAAAGTGAGAAATCACTGCTTGGAGGCCACTGTGTCGTCCGGGCCTGAAAACCCGATGCAATTTCCCGGCCCCCAGCTGACAAAGGGAAGGGGACAAGGCGGGCCGCGGGAGCTGAGCTACGGAAGGGCACACTGGCCACAAAACTCCCCTGTCTGTCGGACTCTGTCTAAAAGCCAGCATGGTGTTGGCTGCTCTAGGGCAGGAACAGGTTGGGGCAGTTTCCGGTTTCCCTGATGGACAGCCGAATCCACTGCCAGCATTACAGCCCCAGTGTGCACAGTGAGCTCCCCAGTCAGCTCAGAGGCAGAGACAGAATTCCGAGTAGGGCAGGGCTGTGTTCCTGTGACCTCGGCTCCAGTGAGCACAGCCAAGCACTGAGTGTAGGGCCGGCAGCAGGGAAGAGCGCGTGGCTCCAATGGGTACTGCATAGAGGCACAGTAAAGAAAACAGCCAGCCAGCTGACTGACAGGGCAGCAGGGAGAAGCCAGCCAGGACACACAGCGTTCCCACGGCTTTCAGCCCCTGCAGGGCATGCGCGCGTGGCACTTGTATTGAGAAAAGTGCCCTGGAGCATGCATTTCTGGCTGCAACATGAACTTAGCTGTGCGCGTACCCACACAAAGGCAGGCACCCCTGGGCATTGCTCCGTGGGGCAGCGCCATCCTGTCACAGGTGGGGGAAGGTATCGGCTGGGACACTCGAAGAGGCAGGGGGAGGCCAGACTAGCTTCGGGCCTAGCAGCCCAACAGAGGAGGCAGCTGAGACTCCGTGAGGGCTAGGCCCCCGGGGGAGCAGGGCTTCCCTCTGTGTTTCATTACTGTCTTGTAGTCAGACTACGTTACCTTGTATCACATTACTAAGGAGACAAAATAAAACTCATCTGCTTCCAAGCGGCAACCTTGGCTGCCTGGAGTCCTCAGCCAAGGACTGCACTGTGTGTGTCAAGTACGGCCCGAGTGAGATGTGAGGCACAACCTGCAGATTCCCTGCTCAGGCTGACGGCGCGGGCCAGGCGGAGAGGCCTCTGCGCAGTGCTACAAGTCAGGTGCGCACCAGCAATCGTGCCGCCCCACAGAGACACAATGAGATGCTGCCCAACCCCGCAGGGCTAGGGCCAACGGCAGGGCTTTGACCGACAGCTGCCACCCGATCCATCAGGAATGACGTTGGAAAGTAAGACCACAGAACCTAGCAGTTGGACGCAACGATCTAAAAAGCTACCACTGGCAAGGTCTGCATACGTGGCCCAAGCACCACATGAAACACGCCCGAGCCTCCGACCTGCTGCTCAGTAAGGATCTTCCTGGCATCGTCCCCACCTCCGCTCGGTGGAACGGGAAGCAGCACGAGCTGCCTCACAGCATGCCTCCAGTCTCCCAGCATGCCCCGCCCCTGCCCTGCCCCATGCCACCGGCCAGCTCTTCCGTTCCGGCCTCAGAACTGGGCCGGCCTACAGGCAAACAGCAGCAGCCATCGGAGGGGACTCAACGAAGCCACGTGACCGGAGCTGCTCTCCCCCTGCCTCCAGGAGAATGCTGACAGGAGGCCGGAGCTGCTCCTCTGCCCGAACTGTGAGCGGGGCCTCACCCGCACGCTTCGTGCTCCCAGAGCACCTCACGTCTGAATTCCAGCTGCCAAGTGCCCGCAAGAACCACGAGAAGGGATCCGTCCGCCTGGCAGCAGGAGGCGGCAGCAGCCTGCTGGGGCCTGCAGGCCGGGCACAGGCCCCTGCCCTGCGCCTCGGGAAGCGGCTGCTGTGCTCACACACACAGCCCTTTGGGTCAGTGCTTCCCAAGAGAAAACTGCAATTCCACCAAACCCTAAAAACCAGCCCAACACCGAGACGGCTTTGCAGGCTGAGTTCCGCGAACAATGGTGAAGTACCACCCTAGAGAGCATTTTAAGACAGGAAGCTGCAGGTCTGCGGCAGGCAGGCACTACTACAGATCACAGCAGCTCCCCAGCCAGCGCCCCACGCTAAGGTATGCTCGAAGTAATTCGTTACTAATAAAGCTGTCAAACCACAAGGCTCTCCTCCACCAGTGCTACCCTCCCTCACTTGCATTCCTGTGCTGCACACCCGGAAGCCCGTGTACCGGTGCTGCAGCCCAGACTCAGAGCCGTCCACGTGCCTGTCCTCCAACAGCAGGATGCACAGGCTGACCACGGCTGTGTCACTATGACTGGGCCCCACCCTCCCATATGCAGCGGCAAACAGCATCACGGACGACACACAGACGACATGCGGACAGTCACCCAAACACGAACACAGGAAAGCAGAGGGTTCCCGCAGTGTCAGGCCACGGCGGAAGAGCCAGCGACAAAGAGGTCAGGCCAGAGAGCATTTCTACTTGTCCTTACCCTGCCAAGCCCTGGGACCGCCAGACCCCGTGCAAGGCAGACAGCACATTCCCCCTGGCAGTGCTGGAGCCGGCCTGCAGGAGAAGACGGCAAAGGAGAATTGGTTATTTTCTGGAACCGCCCCCGTGAGCGCCGGCGCTCAGATGCCCAGCTCGCCAGCACCCTCGCCTAGGACTCAGACTTCGCATGCTTGGGTCTTGCTTGCCTTTAGACATGGTCACCTTCAGACATGCAGCGAGCAGGGACCTGGCCGTGGCACACGGGCAGCTGCTTGTCAGAACTCGCCCACATGTGCACTTGAAAGCAGGCAAGCGGCTAGAAGCGGGAGGGAATGACCTGAGTGTGACGGCAGCCGTCAGGATAGGCGGTGCCATCTCCAGGCCTGCCTCAGTAGCTGATACACTGCACGGAGAGAGCCTTGCTCGATGCCAGACAGGGCCAGATTCTTAACGTTCGGTCCTGTCACCCCGCCCTGGAATTCTGCCCCGACTTTTTCTCCTCTTTTTGGTCTGGGCCACATGTATATATGGCATTCCCGGAACTCTCAGTCTAGCCTTTTCTTTTAATTATTTTTCTTTTAAATCGTAACTATTTTCTTTTAAATCATGTATATATGTGCACATATACACACATAAAATATTGTTTTAATATACTTTAACTATCTTCTAAATCATTTATATATATGTAAATATGTAATATACTCTGATAATGGTTTAACTCAACCAGGAAGGCCAAGCATGACCCAAGTTCAGAGACAATAACTTCCTTGCTCTGTGGCTTAAGGCTCATCACACTGTGATCCTTAGAGCTCTCGCCTGTAACACCAGAGTATGTGGACATAGTATTGCCAGGAAGAGGCCTCCCTGCTCTGTGTACGTGCAGATGGGAAAATGAGTTGGCAATGGTAAAATGCTGCAGATACAAGGCCTGGGGATGACCATGGGTACTGTTCTGTCAACGTCAGTTTCATGAGTGGTTCCGGAGAACACACAGGTGCTATACAGGTAGGAGCCACAGCACGGCTATCCCCTTTATGAACCTGCAAGTCCTAATGCAAACAGACGTAACTGTCGTGCCCACATTCCACGGTTTTCCCCCTTACCTTTGCCAACATAATTCTTGTCTTTGCCACGTCCAGGGGGGTGGTGACTGCGGCTGCACATCCACCTGTGTATGGGAGACCCGACGCTCAAGTGAGACACTGTTTACCGCATGGCGATCTGGTGTTCATTTCCTAATTCCTCCTAACTGCCCAAATCCCTCCTCTCTGACGCCGTCTGTCTACCTGACTGACCCCGGATCTGATCCCCTGCACGCACACTCCTTGTCCACGTGCTGCGTTTCTGTGGCAGTGAAGGAGAGCTGCATACAGAAGAGGTGCTGCATAACGCTCCGCCCTCCTAGGGAGCAAAGCGAGGTCCTGCCGTCTACCTTGCTCCTCTAGGGACTAGCAAGACCTCAGTGGGTGTGCACAGGACGAACCATGCACAGCCAAATGCGCACTCAGCGGAGCGGCCCGCTGCCCCCAGGGCCCTCAGCCTTTCCAGGGGCCACTGCTCTTTCACTCCAGGATGCTCGCACCCTCTCTGCTCTGCGTCAGCAAAATGGACGGCGTTACGAGAGGCGTGGCTATCAATGCTGGGACCCTGCAAGTTACAAGAGGCAAGCTATCTGTATTCCACAGGCTCCTGCGCATGTGCCAGCTCGAGCTACACCACTTTAAGCTCTCTTCTGTGCCTATTCCACAAGCCTTCTCCTGTACAGCTTCTTCCCTACCTTCTTTCTCACGTTCTCTTTATCTAAATACCGTCATGGCCAACTGTCCTTTTACAAAGGGTCGATATCTATGGAAAGAAGAATTGAAAGATCTTTTCTGTTAACACAGACCACAGTTGATGGTGTCGCTATTTTACTTAAAACAGAACAAAGATTCCTTTTCAACCCCGAGGCTATGCGGGCTTCCATGAGGGCAGGGGAAAGCAGCAGCCGTATGGGGGCTTAGCAGAGCACGCGTGTGCTCAGGAGGCCCCGAGAGCACACAGTTCTCTGTCGGTGGCCGTGGACAGACAAGGGATCTGCCGGGTGTCTTTCGCAATCTGCTGCTGTGTCAAGGCTGTTGACTGACCCTCCCCTGTACTGTAACGTGCACTGGGACACTGCCTTTCTCCAAGGGGCACCTCACTCACACTTTCTTTTATGGTCCATGTTTCGTTTCCTGTGAATGTCTCTTGGTGCTAAGCAGCGTGAATCAACATGGATATTAGAACCACCTTGTTTCAGCCAACTTTGGATTGTAAATTTGTGAAATGCTTTGTTCCAAATTCAAAGCTTGCCTGAAAACTCAGACTTGTTAAAGTTATTTTAAAATTTCATGGACCTGGTCCTGAAATCCTACTCTTAAAAAAAAAAAATTGACAGGCAGAGTAGACAGAGGGAGAGACAGAGAGAAAGGTCTTCCTTTTGCCTTTGGTTCACCCTCCAATGGCCGCTGCGGCCGGCACATCGCACTGATCCGATGGCATGAGCCAGGTGCCTCTCCTGATTTCCCATGTGGGTGCAGGGCCCAAGCACTTGGGCCATCCTCCACTGTACTCCCGGGCCATAACAGAGAGCTGGCCTGGAAGAGGGGCAACCGGGACAGAATTCGGTGCCCTGACCGGGACTAGAAGCCGGTGTGCTGGCGTCACAGGCGGAGGATTAGCCTATTGAGCCGCGGCGCCGGCCACCTACTCTTAATTTTTTAAAACCAAATACTCTACCCTCGAAGAGTAAATATTCTTCTAATTATAGAATAGGGTCCAGGAAAGCATCACATCCATCTTTAAAAATCCTAAGTAAGGAAGAAAAGAAAAAGCAACCAACTACTACTGGCTCAGGCTTCTCACTCTGCAATCACATATTTGGTTTTGTTTCCCCTACCGGAGAAGGTCCAAGGTGGTCTGGCGAGAAAGAAGGCACAAAGCCCAGAGCTCAGATCCCCCGCTCTTTGGCTGGCTGTCCTTAGGTAAAATGCTCATTCTCTAGTCATCAGACAGGTTCTGCTCACTCTTGCAACCTGCCCTGTGAGAGCCACCTGCTCGTGTACAAGCTGAAGCTCACAGAGGCAAAGCAGCTTCACACGGAACTGGGACTTGATCTCAAGTCTGGAATCTGAGCTTCGGCCATTGCTTTCCTAGGGACCTAAGTTTTCTCATCTGTGAAATGAAAATCGGCCTTGACACAGGATTAAGTGAGTCTATGTGAAGTGTCCAGAATTCGGCCGGACTCCCAGCACTGTTCACAGGAATCAGTTCTGTTCTCGACAGGGAGACATAATGACTGCTTTTCCTTCGTATCTCTAACCTAGGACACCCATTAGGCATTCAAAACGGCTTACTGAGGACCCTGGACAAGTGTCTGCAGTTTTTCCGGACTGAACATGTCAACGTCTACAGGGGAGGGGCCGGGGAAGGCGGGAGCTGCTGTCTGCAGGTGCTTCCTTCAGAACGGGCAGGCCAGGAATGTGCCAGGCACTTTCAGGGCGCATTTCCTCCCCTCGACCTCGTATTCACGTTTCCCATCTTCCAGTCAACGTGGGCCCAGGGCCACAGAGCTAGAATGGAGCCCAGTCCTGTGTATTTGGACTCTGAAAGTTAGCACTTTCCACTATATAATGATTTTGATACAGGTTAAAAAAGACAAGTTGAGATTTATCCAATTGTTAAGACAGGCTCTCCTACTTGAAAATGTTCATAAACTACTCCATACATCTAATACATTTGAAAACTGCATAGCACACTTATCTTGGCCATTAGCACAGGTTTGCCTCTGCTGTGGGTGTCTGCCAATATTCTCGTACAAATTCAGGTTTCACAAAAGCAACAGCAAGAAAAGTTCAAGACAGAAACACTTAGGCTTAACTAGGCCCTAAGTTTACTAACCATGACAGAAATGGCATTTTATGTAAGTTATTAATAAATCAATTTGAGTATCTTCAAACACAAAACTGTCTCTAACTCACAGACCTGAGAATGTTTTCCATACGACTACGAGAAGGGGCGAGTGTCTGGGCAGTGTGCTGACCCACGCGCGCCGTGAGACGCGCACATCCCCTCGTGAGCACCAGCTGCAGTCCCACTGCTCCCCTGCAGATCAGCTCCCTCCTACTATGCCTGGGGAAGCAGCTGAGATGGCCTGAGTGCTGGGGCGCCTGCCACCCATGTGGGAGATCCGGATAGAGGTCCAGGCTCCTGGCTTCAGCCTGGCCCAGCCCCACAAAACCTCTCTCTCTGTCTCTCCCTCTCTACCTCTGCCTTTCATCTTTTTCAATTAAAAATAAACGGCTACAAGAGGGGCTTGTGAAGATGAGGTACTAGAGTAACTCGTCAAAATGGGGGGGGGCAGCGGGGCCCTGGACTGCACTCACAATGTGGTTATTTTCCACATTTGCCCTAAGGGAACTATAAGCTACTGGTCATAAATACAAGGAACTTGCTAACATGGGAGACAGGAAATGACATGGTGCAGCAACTACGGGTGGCTTCGGGTGGCAATCACAAGGGACACACAATCTCCTGTGGTCTCCACCGGAGTTCACTTTCAACTGAACGCCAGGCCAGCTGCTTGCTTCCCAGGGCCAGATTCAGGGCAAAGCACATTTTTATGACCAAACTACATCTCACGCGTCATTGGGGAACAAATGCAGATTTTTTTGCCCTTGTTCCGGGGCACCTTCCTGCACCAGCTCTGGAGGGGCAGGGGGAAGCCCGCAGCCGCACCGTGGGCACGTGCTGCCACCCCTGTTCCTCTGGACTCCAGAGTCCCGAGCAGTGCCAGACGAACAGGAGTGCCTCGGCACGCCTCTCACAGGCAGGCTGCACACAAGTGCCCAGAAGCTGCAGGACTCCTGGCGGGACCGCCGGGGCCGCCCAGAGCATTCTAAAGACCATGCCGGCCTTTCTCATTTGCCACGCAAATGATCCTTCACCCTGTTTTAGAATTTCAAGTCCTGCCCCCAACTCCAGGCTGAGACTACTCTCCTCTTGCCCCTCTTTCTTACAGAACGTAACAAGACATTTATTATGAGAAATTGTTAAAAAAAAAAAAAACACCTCAGATCACCACACTAGCAGCTGTCATAATTATGCATAGTGCATCAGGGTTTTATATTTAGAAGTTCACCTGATGTGAGGAGGTTGGCAAAGTCCTTCATTTTCCTGGTTTAACCCCTGACCAGAAGCCAAGACAATTTCTGAGCATGACAAGCCATCAACACCTCTGATCTCGAGAGACATTTTTGGGTATTTGTGCCAAGTCATTTATGAAACAAGCACAGGCAAGGGAGTGGGCTGAGATAGCAAGGCTCCTGCGTGATGCTCTGGCCAACGTACACTTGGCAATGAGAAACCCAACTTCTGACTTAGGGGCAAGACTTCTCAGTGCCTCTGCGCTGAGCGGAGGGCAGCAGGTGAGTGTGGACGGGGGCTGTGCGTGACACAAGCTGCGGTCATTCTGCTGTGCTGTGTCTCACACAGTGCTGTAAGCAACTCTCACAGAACACCACTTTTCACAATCTGGACTATTTCCAAATGATGTTTATCCTTCAGGAATGTTTTAAAACAGGACCCTTGCTCTGCTAGATCAACATGTACCAAATTACAAAGCAAGAAGGGGCATAAACAGCAATGTGTATGTCACTTACTAAGTACGTGTACATCTACTCACAGCCTATTTTTTGCTCACTTTGTGCAAATGCTTTCATTTACTCGGACCTCAGCTGACAAAGTAAGATGACCACAGGAGAGAAACGTTGGCACCCACAGGCTATCAGAGGAGAGCGCTCTGCAGAGTAACTTCATTCGTCTGCTCCTCTCTCAGAGCGGAGGGAAGATGAGCTAGTGAATTGCTCCAACAGTTTTCATTTCTGGGTGTGGGTGGTTCTCAGTGAGACAGCCGTCATGCCACACGTGTCCAGTTTTAGAGATTACACAGCACTAACACAGCAACGGCTGTTCCCACATCACAGGTAAGGACACCGTGGCTCAAAAGGTCCAGTCCCCTTCCTCCGCTGGTGGGGGGGGGGGGGCAGCAGAGACAAGCCAGCCTGTCAGCTCAGCCTGTGCTCACAAGTGGGGCTTCCACACCTCACTTCCCTTCCCCACCCCCCAGTGTCCTCAGGCGTCCCCAGAGCCCAGGCTGTGTCGCTGAAAAGGTTCCTACTAGAATGCACCTGCCTGACACAAAGCTTCCTCCTTTCTCTCCTGACAAATCTAAGCACTTACGCCTACAACAGACTATGTGAGGAATGGGACCAGAGAATATATACCTCTTCTTTGGGCACATGGAAATTTTCAGAAACTGTTAACTTTAAGAAGTGGCCTTTATCCACAATGGCTAAATTTCCAAATGCTCATTTTGTCCCCAGGGTCCACGAGAAAGTCAACAAAAAAGTCCACTGCTCTTAAGGACTAGGGAATAAGGACTCCTGACCTCGGAAAATCAATCGCGACCACCTATGCCTTGGACACAATTTATTCCATGTCTACGTGTCGTGTGGGAACAATTATCGATCGTGAGCAGTCTAGGTAGTTTGATATCCAGAGGCAAGATCTTTACATTTCATTAGCAATTCTTAAAGTCAGAGAAGTGTACTTACTTGAAGGATCCTATAAAATGTGCTTTTCTTTTTTCCCACTCTTCCCCCCCCCCCAAAAAAAAATTCCAACAAGCATTAAACGAATTGGAAAAGAACTGTTTTCTATTTAAGTTTATATCCTAAAGCTACCCTTCCGTCAATCGGGGCTTCCCTTGTAAGTTAACAGTTGAAAATTACCTAGAAAGTTTCTACTTTGTGTCCACTGTAATTCTAATTGACCACTAATTGTAATAACAAACCCTATTTGTCCCTTAGGCTTTTAAAGGGTATCACTTTCTGAATTCCTTAACCAATCTGAGTTCTCATTAAAACCTCACTGGGAAATTCCTGTGACTCAGTGATGGGTAACACAACAGTGCCTATTGTCACTCTGTTCTTGCTGTCATGTCTCCAACATGCCCAGATGTTCAGACCGCCCTGTCTTCTACCCAGGGCAGCTGAGCCTTCAGTAAGCCGTGGAGCAGCCTGTGCTCTCCTGACACCGGTTAATCAGCGTCGCTGTCAAACACGTCACAGGAGCTGTGAATCATTGCCTTCTGCAGAAACCACTTAAACCCCGCAGCACTGCTCAAGGCAGACAGCTGCACCGGCAGCCCCGCACCCACTCCGCCAGCCTCTTCCCACAGAGGCCCTCATCAGTCATCTTGAAGATAATCCAAGGGTTTGAGTGAAGGCTTTAATAAAGATAAAAAGAAAAAGAAAAATTTGTCAAAAACAAATTGGCTGTCTTTCAGCCTGACACCTTTTGAGCGGCTTTTTTTCCACAACACCCCTCTGAAACAGCTAGCGAAGCTCTCTTCATCTAAACAATCTGGAATTTCTAAAGAATGTTGTTTTTGTATCGTTATTATTTTCACATTTTTCTCCCCGCTCTTCAGTCTTTCCCAGTATAATATAATCCTCTGCACCTGCAAAAGCTCCACAGACTGCTGACTGCCAAGAATCCACCACATGATCCTGCCTCCAGGACCAGAGAGCCTGTGTTTAAGGAGAAAGAAAAATACAAGTTATTAAATATTTGCATTTATCAGAACCTCCTGCGGGTTAGCTCTGGGGATGGGAACTTAAGTGAGAAGCTATTTTGGTGGCATTCTTTACCGATGACTTAAGTCATTTTCCCAAGGACTTAACTACATTCTAAAATAAGTCAAAGGAACAAGGGTGACAGCCCCATCTGAATGCTCAAAGCAACCAATTTTTAGGAAATATTTTGACACATTTGTGTATATAATATACATGGACAGATAAAAATAAAGATAATACATCTCTAGGACAACAAAACATTTAAACACAGAAACACCTCCATTCACAAATTAGCCCCGAATAGTACCCGCCAAAATAGTATATGCCAACTTCCTCTGCTCCTTTCACAATCCTAATCCACAGCACCTGTGTTTGAAGGATGCTAATTCCGTTACCTACACATCATTTAAGATGTGTCAAGCCAGTTTTGTACCATTCACTTAACAGGCTGAAGATTGTACAAACACCCATGTCGAGTTTCACACTAGACAAAATAATGGCAGAGGCACAATGCCTTGCTCACCAAGAGTTTATGAGGTAGTAGAAGACAAGACAAAGTTACAGAAAATGGTGAGGAACGCAAGCCAGGCACTCCAATCTCCGATCATTTATAAATTTTAACCATTCTAATAAGTGTACAGTAGTACTTCACTATGTTTTACTTTGTATTTTCCTAATGACTAATGATGTTGAGCTTCTTTTCATGGACTTACATGCCACCAACCTTTTTTGGTATCCAAATGGCTTGCACATTTTTTCGTGTGTTATCTGTTACCTAAATTACTAAATTTTGAGATTCCATTATATATCCCGGATAGAAGTCACTTGCAAATATAGTCTCCTATTTTTATTTTTTTGATTCTCTGAAGAATTCAAAGGATCCAAGATTTTAATACTGACAAGGTCCAAATTATCCTTTCATGGATCTTACTTTTGTTGTCACTTCTAAGAGATCTTTGCATAAACTAAAGTTACAAAGATTATTTTCCTTTATTTTCTTCTAGAAATTTTCTATTTTTAGGTTTCACATTTATATGTAACCACTCATTTTGAGTTGATTTTTTTAAGTGCTACAAGTTATGGATTGAACCTTTGGACACTGGGATATCCAAGTGCTGTGCCAACCAGTAAAGACAATTACTTGCTCCAATTACTTGCTTCTCAAAAGTCACCTGTCCCTATGGGTGTGGAGCTATTTCCAGTCCCTTCTGTTCTAATCTGTACATCTATTTTGATGCTAATTCCATACCTTCTTGACCACTATAGCTTTATAATAAATCTTATCATCAGGTAACATTAATTTTACCAAATTTGTTCTTCAAAGCTGTTCTGACGACTCTAGATTTTCATATCAATTTTTAAGAGCAAGATGAACTTTCTCAAAATAATCTGAGATTTTGATTGAAACTACATAAAACTTATCAGTAATGTGGGGGCACATAGAGACATTAATAAAATAAAAACGAATTCTTTGACTCATAATTTCATCGTTCCATTTACTTAGGCTGCCTTTAACATCTCTGAGTACTGATCTGTAGTTTTCAGAGTACAGGTGTTCCCCTGGTTTTGTCATACGTATCCCTAAGTATTTCACGTTTGAGAGGACTGTAAATGAGGCTGGGGCCTTTTTAGGCATACTTACAATTTTTCATCAAAGGCAAAACAACAGAGACACAGAGATATTCCATCTCCTAACTCACTCCCAATTGCCTGTAGCAACCAGGACTGTGCCAGACTAAAGCCAGGACTCTGGAACCCATCCTGGTCTTCTACATGGGTGGCAGGGACTCAAGTACTTGAGCCATCATCTGCTGTCTCTCAGGATGTGTTAGCATGAAGCTGGATCAGAAGTGGAGCAGCTGAGACTCAAAGCAGCACTCCAGTATGGGATGCAGGTGTCTTACGTGGTACTGAACTTGCTGCACCACAACGCTGGTTCCTACTATCTGTTTTCTGTATTTCAATCTCTGGTTGTTCTTTGTGAAGTAGGCAGAAATTGACTGCCAACACAACTGATTTCTGAATAATGAGCTTGTATCATGCAACCCTGCTACGCTCAACTGCTACAGTCAGTAACTCCAGTAGCATTTCTGTAGGGTCATCAAATTTTCTACACAGATGACCCTATCTGGGAATACAGACAGTGTTTTCCTTTCTGATTAGAATTCCTTTTCTTGCCTATCTGTACTGGGGCAGACCTTTAGCTTATCACTGCAGGCACAAGGATGGCCACAAATATTACCGAAAAGAACAATTGAATATACTAACACCTAGACTAGTCTCATGACCTACTGAGAGGGACATTTTTAGGGATGACCAAATGCACCACAAATGAGAGGAGACCAGCAAACCTGGTACTACTGTTCTACCCTTGGTAGACCCCAGAAGATGGAGGGGTAGCTACAGAGCTGGAGAAGGCACCACAGAAACAAATCAAGACGTAGACGGCCCTAGTTAACTTCTCTGTCAACTTTACCAACTTTGCTTAAGCCAGACACCTAACAATGTAAATTATCTAACAAGTGAGATGCACAGCAGTGTGTGGTGTCTGAGGACTCCCGCACTTCCTAAGTTTACTCTATTAAGAGTTCAGCTATCAAATAGATTTTTATAACCTTGCTTGTGAAAGAAGATAAGCTTTAAAAAGTTTTATTATAAATCAGTTTCTAAAGATAGTGTTGTCATTAAGCACAGTACTTGGTGTGTTTCTGTAAATGCTCTCAATGTTTGCAAATAAATCTGTACACTTTGTAAAAAGCATTATTTTTTCTAGTCTGTTAAGCATTGCAGCCAGAGTAAGAAACATGACAGAATAAAATCTATTTCCTTTCAACATGGCATAATATATACTGTTATCAAGTTAATGCCATCTTTAATGCCATTACTTACTTCACCATCTTATTAGAAAAGGAAAGTCAAAGTTATACAAGACTTTTGTAGATGAGTTAAAGTCAATCTACTGATACCTTCAAAAGATCCAAAGAGTACAATGACTCTAGACAGACAGAAAATAGTGGTAGTCATGCTGCATTTATAATACAGAACAAATCACAAAATGTGCACTAGATATCACGCAGGAGGAAGAAATCTACAATGCTGTGAAATTCACAAATTCAGTACCTGCTTCCTGAGAACCTATGAGCCATCAGGCATTTTAGAGTCAAGGAGAACAAGAGTCCCTCGGTCTAACACCTGGGGAAGGTTCAGTGGCGGAAAGAGGGGAGTTATAAAACAGAAAGGAGATGATACAGAAAGCTTCATAGAGGTGCCTGTTGTCTGGACAGAAAACAATTTGGTTGCCAAGGGAGAAAAACATAATCAAAATAGACTCAGATGACTGAAGACACTGTTTAAAAATAGCCTCTCTGCAGATAAGCCTAACTTTCCACTATCACCTGCACAGATTGGTCTGAGAACATAGAAAGAAATCAATCTGTAATTAAAACGGATGCTAATAGTATCTTCAAACAAACAATCTCTGAAAAACCAAAACATTTAAAGTCAAGTCACAACCCTCAGTGGCAAACCCGCAGCTTGATAGAAATGATGACTTAGACAGCAATGCTGCACACACCGATACAGAGCCCAGCACGTTCCAGGCACAAATACCTCACATCCATGTACTCAAGGAATTCTCCCCGTACTCTTCCATGGTATGCACACTATTCACCATTTTGTCCTCTAACAGAGAACTAAGTGAGGCTCAGAGACACTTTAGAAAACTTGCTAAAGCTTAAACAGCTGGTTATGAGCAGAACAGTGACAAAATGCAGAACAGGACAGCACGTATCTCAGAACTGTCATGGACATTAGCACATAATCCAGCTGGTTTTCAGATGAAAAACCCCTCCCTAGCCCCAGGAGCTGTGTCAAGGTGGGATGACGACAAGACCCACCCCTCCAGGTTGCAAGTGGCGTGGCTAACATATTAATGCATGGGTAGTGCTCAGCCCAGGCCCTGGCACACACGCACAATTGATGCCCATATAGTAAGGATACCACCAAATAAATCAAGGTGTTACAAGGAAGCCAACAGGTGCTGTGCCACTGAGCAGGGAAGGTCCTGTTTTAAAGAGGAGTGGACTGGCTCTGTCCAAAATGACATCTGATGTAAGATCTGAGGGTAATTAAGAGCTGCAAGTGGGAAACACCTGGAGAAAGAGCTAGAATGTCTGCTCCATGCAGGCAGGGACTCCTGTCAGACCTCTCCCTCACCATGGCCCCTGAACCTGGAAGAACCCTGGCACACAGTCCACAATTACAATATGTGCAATGTCTATATCCCCGAAACATCATGCTTTATACCTTACAATTACTATCAGTCAATTTAAGTAAATAACCTAATGGCCACATGCACACACACAGGAATGATGCACACACGGAATGAAGAAAGGGTATTTTTGGCAGCGATGGAGGGAGGTTGTGTTCCAGGTACCAAAACACAGTAAGATGGAGGGAACAAGTTCTGGGATGGGCACGTGGATCAGCGGTTAAGATGCTGCCTCTCTTCTGCATACCTTACTAAAGTGCCTGGCCTGGAGTCCCAACTCTGTTCCCAATTCAAGCTCCCTGCTAAGGCACACCCTGGGAGGTGGCAGGTGACAGCCTAGGTATTTCAGTTCCTGTCACCCACATAGGAGACCTGGAAAGAGTTCCAGGCTCCCAGCTATAGCCAGGCTCAGCCCTGACTATCGCAACCATTTGGGCAATGAACCAGTAGATGGAGCACGTGAATGCTTGTGCATGCTCGCTTGCAGCCCCCCCCCCCCCCAACCACACAAATACAATTTTTAAACTGTATTTAAAAAGACAAAAGTCTTGGCCGGCGTCGCGGCTTACTAGGCTAATCCTCCACCTATGGCGCCGACATCCCGGGTTCTAGTCCCAGTCGGGGCGCCGGATTCTGTCCCGGTCGCTCCTCTTCCTGTCCAGCTCTCTGCTGTGGCCCAGGAAGGCAGTGGAGGATGGCGCAAGAGCTTGGGCCCTGCACCCGCATGGGAGACCAGGAGAAGCACCTGGCTCCTGGCTTCGGATCAGTGTGGAGCACCGGATGCAGTGGCCATTCGGGGGCAAATCAACGGAAAAGACGACTTTTCTCTCTCTCTCTCTCACTGTCCACTATGCCTGTCAAAAAAAAAAAAAAAAAGACAAAAGTCTCTATCTGGCTTTGCCTGTGCTACCTCTCCATTTAAAAAAACAAAACAAAACAAAACAAAACAAAAAAAAAAACCAAACAAATGCCTGGAGCTATGTTCTGAACTAGTCAGCCTGAGACATCTCAAGCGAGGAGGCAGCTGGCACGCAGAGCAACGGTTAGCACGGAGCTCAAAGACGCTGGCCAGTATACAGAGGGCATCCAAAGCCAGAGACAAGATCAAACAAACAGCTATGGGTCTCTGTGAGGTGATAAAAACCACCGACTGTATCACATTTCTTTTCTTGTTGAGCTGCTAACCTGTCCCAAAGTAAATATAAGTCTGAAAAGAAAACTATCATCTCTGGGGTTCCAGATGGGATAATCAATCCTTTCTACTTCCTTTCTCTTTATGGGGTCTTATCTTTTTCACCTAAAAAACTATGCACTATAAAAAAAGGAAAACATCAGACACGAGGTTAGTGGAGTGACAGCATCTGAGGAGCCAGGGGGCCAGCCCTACACCACCTTGAGTATCTTCCTCAAGGAGAGACACACTGCACATACGTTAGCTGTGGGTTGTGCGCCTGACAGACCGTAAGCCGCTCAAAGGCACTGACCATGTCCCACTCATCCTTGTCCTCCTGCAAGTGTGAAGGTCTAGCTCAGAGTCGCCAGGCAATAAACGAACACTGACAGCACGTGCTGTGTATCTGAGAGTAGAAGAGGCCCATGCCTTCAAACACGCCAAGTGTGGCTCCAAGAAGTTCTCAACACAACAGAGCAAGTGATTAAGTATCAATCAACACTACTGACAAACGTTAGGTATGGCAAACCTTCAAGGCCTAGATTAGAAGACTCCAAGCAAGAGATCAAAAGCTGAACTTGGCTTTGAAAGACACAGTGGATTTGGACTCCTAGAAGCACATTTCTAAGGAAGGCACAGCATATTCAGAGGCAGTGAAGAAGAAACTCTCCATGGAGAGGAAAGATCGAGCAGGGAAAAGAAAGAAGAAAGTCTAGAGGAGGGAGCTGCAAACACTAGGCGCGGGCACACACCTCGGAATGTCAACCTTCACGTCTCAAGAGTCTCAGAAAGCTGTACGTTTCTGAGAAATATTAAGTGTGATTTCAAAGTTACTTCTACGAGCAATCCCACAAATTCAACATGTAGGATGCAAGAGAAGGTTCAGAAGCTGTTAGCATATGGGCCAGGCACGAGGTAATAACAATCTGAAAAAGGGTGGCTATGGGTCCTGAAAAGTCAAGCTCAGCCAAACTCCCTGAGTGACACGATCTGGCAACAGAGAAAGAACACAGGACACTTTAATCTAGGTTTGGGACCAGGTGCTTAGAAGAACAGCAGAATGATTAGCAGAAATGGGTAGGCAGCAGGAAGAGATTTTAAAAGAAAGGTGACAAGTTTGATTTTCGCAGAGTTAACTTTAAGGTGCCAGTGGACACCCCTACCTCTAGATCCTTACACTTCCTGCAGTGCAGGCACTCCCCACATAAGGTGCAAGTTCCGGCTGAGAAAAATTTTACCAGACAAGCGGAACAGAAAAATCCGTCCATACAATATAATCTCTCACTACGGCTCTTCAAAAGTTTAAATGGATAGAATAATAGCCACAAAAATAAAAGGGACAAAATCTTAGTCTACTTCTACAAAAGCACCATGACTCACATTCACGTGTCAAAAAGACATTCTTATATGAAAAGATGCTAAAGTCAATTTATTCATAAAGCAACTACAAATTAAACCCACAGTGAGACACTAGTAGGCAACAACTATTTTAACAACTGATTTTTAAAAATGTAATAATATCAGATAATAACATGGATACAGAATAAATAGAACTCTCATACACCATTGGTAGGAGAGTAAAATATTACAGCCACTTTTGAAAATACTCTGGCCATTGCCTGTAAAATCAACCATACTTTCTTCACGAACCAGCAACGTCACTGCTAGGCACTTACCCAGGAGAAATAAAAACATATGCCCACACAAACACTGCAGGTGAATATTCATAGCAGCCTTATTTTATAACCATCAGAAATCAGAAACAACTCAACTAAGTGGAAAGTGGTGAACTGATAAGCCAATTGTAGTAACTGTACACCCACATCCTTGTGGAATATTACACAGCGGTAAAAAGGAACAATCACATTAAGTGAAAGAAGTAAGGCACAGACTGTTACAGGACAGACTCTGTATTATATGATATTCTGGGAAACAGGAAAAGTATTGGGAACAGTGGTTGCCAGGGACAGAATTCTAGGAGGTAATAGTTATTCTCTATAATGGTCATGGTACAGTAACAAACATTCATTAAAACCCATAAAAACATGTAGTGATTTTTACTGTATGAAAATTACTCCTCAAGAAAATAAATTTCAAATAAAAACCTTATAGCATCCTCACATTTGCTCAAAGAAAAAATTTAAGGCAAAATATTATTATCTGTGATTACTCTGAAACATTCTAGATGTCTCTTAAGCAGCCATAATCGTACAGTGTTCTTAATATTGAAAGAGAAACATGCTTCTCCTTTCTGTGCGCCTCAAAACCCTGCTTTGCAGAGTTGGGGCACAGGACGCTCGAATGTGCAGACTGTGTGTGAATGCTGCTTATTGAGACCTTAATAAAGTGAGTCTTGTTTGCTGGACAGCTGTTGGCTTCATTGTTCTTTTGTCACACACTAAAAAGGAGAGTTGTTATGCTAATGGAATGTGACCTTCTCATTGGATAGCTGTGACATCATGCTCTGAAACACCGCTTGAGAAATACTTTCACCATGCAGCACAGAGGAAATGACAAAAATAAAAACAAATAAAACAGTGGCGAAAGACCCAAAACACTGGATAAATAAAATATACTAAAAAACCTTATCAGCTATCCATTTTCACTTTACCAGGGCTTTCAAATTCTCTAAACACTGTACACAGTGAGAAACATACTCTGTGCTGTGACCCCCTACTGACACTCATGCCGGCAAGGACCTACAAAATTCACACCACGACCTACAATTTTCAGTATCACTGCAACAAGAAGATAAAAACCTAATGCAATGTTTCTGCATGTATGAAACAGGTTTTAAATTTTTATTTATGTTTAAACAGATGTGCGACCTTCCCCAAAGCTGACTCACAGCTCACCACAGTCTTCCTTCTCGCGAGGGCCCTAGTCTGGGCCGAGCACCAGAGGCGGAAGGGCAGTCACGGAGCCTGGGCCTTCCCACCTGTCCACACTCAGGGCCTCACTGCCGTTCTTTTTCCACTTACCGTACTATTCTTTTACCTAGACACACACACACACACACACACACACACACGGGAGCAAAATAAAATTAAATCCAACAAATGCATTAGCTTTTTTGTCATTCCCACAAACTACCTGAAAGAAGCTACTTATGAACAAGTGAGGGTTATTTTGGTTCATGGCCTTGTAAGCTGTCAGTCCAAGACCAGGCAGGTCCCAGTGGCTAGCCTCTCGTGAGTTCACGGGATGACAACAGGCAGACCATGTAGGAGGGATCCTACCAGGAGCCACAAAGAACAGAGAGCACCGGGGCCCAACTCGGGTTTTCATAACGAGTTCTCCAGGGAGAACCACCTTTTGAGGGAGGGTACACTCCCAATGATCAAAGGGCCTCCCAGTAGCCCACCTCCTAAACACCATAGTCAGTCTCCGTGCTCCTGTTACCATTCATGGAAGACTCTGGGGTGTGTCAGCCACATGACTTAGGAGTTAAATCTTGTACAGACCACAACAAAGTGCCAATACAGAAGAAAGCAAAGTTTCTTCTTCATATCTGTGGATTTCAATTAATAACATGCTTTGCTTATTTCCTGGTGCTACAGACACTGAACAAGTTAAAAAGACAAACTGACATATAAGTCGCACACACGAATATTTTCAACTATTAGTAACTTTGCATTTTTACACTTCTAGTCAACATTAGATTCCACTTTTCCACACTAAAACTGCTGGGTTTTGCGGTCAAGTTAAGTTGTATATGAAGATTGAAAAACTTACTTTTAAGGACTCCCACAAGGGAAACTGGACCAGAGAGAAAGGAATCTGAAGAGAGAAAAAAAAATTAAATACATTAGACAACAAAGATCAGAGTTTGCCTGATCTTTTACAGGAAACTAAAACAGCTGTTTAGAAACGCTGCATTTCATGTTAACTTTATGTGAGAAACAAAGCTACCACTAAATGAGCTTACAGGTACAGTAGACACGAGGTATAGAAAGGAACGGCCAACTTCAGCTTTTAGAACTTTCTGAGCCCAAGGGTCATAAAATGATGTTATGAAGCCCTTTTAAAATGAAATGAGAAGCCGGCGCCGTGGCTCAATAGGCTAATCCTCCACCTTGCGGCGCCGGCACACCGGGTTCTAGTCCCGGTTGGGGCGCCGGATTCTGTCCCGGTTGCCCCTCTTCCAGGCCAGCTCTCTGCTATGGCCAGGGAGTGCAGTGGAGGATGGCCCAGGTGCTTGGGCCCTGCACCCCATGGGAGACCAGGAAAAGCACCTGGATCCTGGCTCCTGCCATCGGATCAGCGCGGTGCGCCGGCTGCAGCGGCGGCCATTGGAGGGTGAACCAACGGCAAAGGAAGACCTTTCCCTCTCTGTCTCTCTCTCTCACTGTCCACTCTGCCTGTCAAAAATAAAAAAATAAAAAAAAATAAAAAAAAATAAAAAAAAAATGAAATGAGAGGCCGGTGCCGTAGCTCACTAGTGGAGGATGGCCCAAGTGCTTGGGCCCTGCACCCCATGGGAGACCAGGAGAAGCACCTGGCTCCTGCCTTTGGATCAGCGTGGTGAGCCGGCCGCAGCGCACCAGCCGTGACGGCCATTGGAGGGTGAACCAACGGCAAAAAGAAGACCTTTCTCTCTGTCTCTCTCACTGTCCACTCTGCCTGTCAAAAAAAAAAAAAAAAAAAAAGAAATGAGAAGAACAGTATAGACAGCATCCGGCTGTTGAACTAATATTTCTCATCCTAAAGAAAAAGGACTTTGTAAAGATTGGGTGTTTATTGCTTAAGGGCCAGGGTTGCCTACTCCTCAGCAGGCAAAGTGTCAGGAGAGGGGAGGAGGATAGGGAGGTGGGGAGAAAGAGCTGAGAGAGGGAAAGGAGGAGAGAGAGGAGAGGAGAAGAAGGAGAAGAAAGCAGGGGCCAAGAGAGGACAGGAAGGGGAAAAAACAAAGTGAAGAGAGGAGGGGGAGAGAGAAGAGGGAGACAGGTGGGCGAAGAGGTCCAGGAGGGATAGAGAGAAGTCACGGCGAAAGTAAGGGTGGGTGGAGGCCCAGAGAAGGGAGCACCCACAAGCCTAAGATGAGACCAAAAGACTCCAGAAGCAGAGCAGCCTGTCTGGGATCTGAAAGCTCCCCCTGCAGGAAGCAACAGCAGGTACAGGCAGCGTGTAGAGCTCTGTGCAGACCCATGCCGGAGCGGCTAACGCCTGAACTCATTCCCGAGTGCAGTTACAGTGAAGGTGCATGGGAGCTAATGAATAGGAGTGCTTGGAATAATCGCCACATATGCAAGCAGCCTCAGTGTGTCCAGAGAGTTCTCAAACAGCTAGGGCCAAGTCTGACAAGCCCTGTACGTGGGCCAGGCATTCTGCTCACTAATCAGCACCTCCTAGATTCTTACTTCAGCTGAATCCTCTCAACCTCTCTGTATGGGCTATTTATTAGCACCCTTATTTCACAGGCGAGGAGACCGAGGTTCAGAGAAGCCCTCATCCCCACTCTACATGAAGCACATCTAAACACATTTAACGGCACATAAACTCGTCTACAGTACACGCTACTTGCTGCTGACTAAATCGTCTGAAATTCTAAAAGAGAAACCCAACCTGTATTTACAAAGTAAAAACCCATCAACTCTAGTGGACCTAATGCCCTAGCTTATCGAACATACGGTCAGAGCCCAGTGTGGCGTGTGTGCCTGCACGTGTGCATGTGGGTGTGTGTTCACACGATGTCAGAGGAATTAAAGGGTGTTAACCTTCACATGAATTAAGGGCATTAAGTTATTTCTGAAATATTTATATGGTAATCAGAAACTGAGAGTCTGCCAAAGCAAATGACATCCCTGAGTTTGACAGCAGTCAGAGAAGGAAAATCCATCTTCCTCTCAGGAGGGGAATGGTAGTGAGGGAAAAACCCCTGTCAATTGCTGTGATTAATCTGACAAATGGGACTCTCAGAGAAGTGTGTCACTGTCATACACAGACACCACACCCTGAATTTCACCACGAGAGCAGTCACATGTAGTTGAGTGTTTTTCTCACCAAAACACAAAAGCATCTGACAGCCCATTCTGAAACTACAGTGGTGTCTCTCCAATTAAATTAGTTACCAAAACCACAAAAATTGACTCGGTAACAGGTTTCTGAAAGTTTTCTTAATTTTTAAAAAACTTATATGTAAAAAAAAAAAAAAAGCATGCAAGAAGACTAACAAGTAGAAGGGTTATGTATTATTTTTATTATTTTATTTGTTCTCTCCCTTCTCAAATGTGACTATGTCACATTTACAAGATGTAAAAAGCTTTAAAATTTAGTACTACAATTTTTGTTGGTGCTATTCCTTTCTTATTGCAATACCTATAAAACTGTACTGGATGTTATCTGCACTTATTTGGTGCTTAGAATTATTAGATTTTGAATTCTATAGATGAACATTCTTCTCATTTTCCTCTATTAAAAGTTATTCATTAGATTGTTCCTTCAGTTTAAAGAAGTAATTTGAAAATCACACATTTGGAGTGGCCAAACTATCCCACTGGGTATTTATTTGAAAAAGTGAACCGACAATAAAGCTCAAGTTTATTACCTACAACAAGATTAGCTGACAGTCCGAGGTAATTAAATGTGGAGTAAATGCTTAAGTAATTAGATAAATGTCTGTCTTGTGGTAGTGAAATACCCCTCCTAAGATAAACTCCTGATGTGTGAAAAACTGCTAATTATTCTCCCAGTCACCCTCATCATCCTGCACAGGACGGGGAGCCAAGAAGGGCAATGTGCTCCCCACGTGTGCAAGGCATCCTACCGGCAAAGGCAGCTCCACAGCTAACACACAGTCTTCCTCCAGCCTCCATGCAACCTGGGCCTGCCAGGGAGCCAGCCCCCTCCCACGTCTGGTCTGGAGCTACACAACAGTGAGGTTTCCTCAAAACGTGCAACTTTACACCCCAAGCAGATGTAAGCTGTTATTCTAAAATGTTTTATAGTTGAAGAAAATGAATAGCTACACTCAGAGGACTTATATTCCAAAACACAACATACCCACTTTATTGCACCAAAAGTTAGAAAATGGCTCACTGTTGTGACCTGTTTAAGGCCTCCATTTAAGCTGTTTTGTTTGAATAAGGTTGTTAAGACCCCGGGCACTAATAAGTGAGCAGCAGTAAACCCAGCTAAGAGGCAGAGGTGGGGGGAAACCTGCTAAAATTCAACACAGATTCCACTTAGTAATAAAAACTCTGATAATTCAATGTGGCCGAGACAGACAAAACGAACCTGGGTGTGGCAGACAGGGGAAGGAGGTAGGGAGGTGCTGGGCATCACTAGCGACATGAACAATGCACAGAACCGCATTATGACCCTGTTTTGCCCATCATGAAGTACTGCACAAGAATGATCCTCAAAGTCGGTCAATGCTTCTAAACCCGTGCACTTACAATACACGTCTGTAACTGCCCGGTCCTTTACCAAATACTGAGTGACATGTAAAAACGTAACTGAGGGGGAGATGAAGGTATGAATTCTCAGTTATCAGTCAGTTCTAAAACTCTGTTTTTAAATGGAATGATCGCATTGGGTACCAACACATTCTTTTAATTATTTTAAGTAAATAAAGAAGACTTGATTTCAAGCTGCAATGAACAACACTATGAGTTTTCTAGAAAGTCTAAGGAACAAGAAAAAGTATTTTAAAAGCTGTGAAAGCTATCACATCTGGCAGAAATAACCAAGAACTCTCCAGCAATAAAGTTTCAAACCTCTACTCATCAAAAGGCACTGTTAAGAAACCCCGATGGCATATTTCACATCCATTCTAAAATTCATATGGAATTTCAAGGAACCCTTGATACCCAAAACAATCTTGTAAAAAAAGAATAAACTGGAGGTCTCATATTTGCTGATTCCAAAAGCTAACAGAAAATTCCAATGAGCAAAAAAGTATTGGAGTGGCATCAACAGATATACCTATCAGAGAGCCCAGACGAACAACCTTATATATAATGCCAAACAATTTTCAACAAGACTTCCAAGACCATCCCATGGAGAAATGGTGTTCAAATAACTGGGTATCAACATGCAAAACAATGAAGCTGGAGCTTTACTTCACATCCTATACAGAAATAAAGTCCGATCGAAGAAACGACCTAAAGACCTGACCTAAAATCGTAAAACTCTTAGAAGAAAATAAAGGGGAAAAATCTTAGTGGCTTTCAATTTGGCAATGACTGTGACACCAAAAATATACACAACAAAAGCAAAAATATACAGAGCTTCATCAAAATTATAAACTTATGTACATCAATGAACACAAGCAACAGATTATAAAAAAAACCTACAAATCACTTATCTGATAATGGGTTAATACTCAGAATGTATATAGAACTCAGCAACAATAAAACATCCTGAATTTTAAAAAGGCAAAGGATTTGAATAGACACATCTCCAGAGGAGCTATGAAAATAGCTGAGAAACAGGAAAAGATGCTCCACATCACTAATCATTGTAAAAATGCAAATCAAAACCACAATGAGACATCACCTTTCACCATTAGGATGATCACCATGCAAAAAAATCAGAAAATAACAAGTACTGGGAAGTATATAAAGAACCTATAACCCTCGTCCACTGTTGGTGGAAAAATAGCACAGTCAGTTGGAAAAAAGCATGGCTGTTTCTCAAAAAATTAAATACAAATTTACTATATTATCCAGTATTTCCACCTCTAAGATATACACAAAACAAAACTGGAACAAAATATTTGCAAAACATGTTATCTCACAAAAAAAGTTGAACTCACAATATACAGAGAACTTTTGAAA